TCACTTTAGTTGCCGAAGTTCACACGGGGACTCAGAGGAAGAGTGTGAACCCCAGGTAACCCCGGCAGCACCAGGTCTTTGCAGAGTCCCGGAGAAGCTGACCTCTGGCCTAACCTTGTCCTTCTAAGAATCAGGGACTTCAGGAAGACCAGAACTTAATTTGGGACTGAACCGAGAGAACATCAAGCTACCTCCCCAGCCTTTTTATACTTTATTTTGAGACAGGGTCTCACTCAGCTGGTGTTGAACTTGCAATCCTGCTGCCTCATCTTTTGTGTTTTTAATGTTTATTTCATCAGTTAGGTAGAAGAAATGGAAGCTGAGGTGTAAGTTCACACTGGATCAAGTCACAGAGTCTACACAGAGGACCCAGAGAGAGCAGCCCCTGTGCAGTATAAAGGGGAGGAAAGACTTGATCGCTCTCCTGAATCACTGTCTCAGCTCAGCATCTCTGGGAGGTCCCTACGCATCACTCCCTGGCTGAGACAAGGCCGGGCCCTGGGATCAGGCTCTAAGTTTCCTGGGACTGCTCTCCCTTTGCACTGAACCCTGCTCCCCGAGTCGGACAGGAGCTGGGTCCAAAGTGACCTCATCTACAGAGACTACAGGTATTTCTTCTTTTTAAATTTATCATCTCCTAATTATCAAAAAAGAACACATAATGTATTATTGAATAGAGTCCCCTCCAAATTCATATCCTCCTGGAACCTCAGAATGTGACTGTTTTTGGAAATGATGTCCTTGCAGATACAATCAAGTTAGGATGAGGTCGTACAGGTTTTAGGGTTCACCCTACATGCAGTGACTTTTGCTCGCTAAGTTGCCTAGGATGGGCCTGAACTTGTGATCCTCTGTCCTCAGACTCTCAGAGTTCTAGGATTATAAGTGTGAGCGCCACACCAGACTGACCACTGCCTTTTAAGGACAGGTCAGGGATACTGTCACGTCTTGTGTCTGGACGTCCTCCCAAAGCCTCATGCGGTCATGGGTGGAGCCTAGAGATGGCTGGATCTAGAGTGTGTGATGCTGGGACTGCTTCATGGTGCAGTGGCAGGCTACGGATGCCCGCCCGGGTGTGAGTGCTCCCTGCCCTGAGGACAGGAGACAAAGGGGCTGACATTGTCCTGCTTACTGTGGCTGCTGCTTTGCTGCTGTGTTCTCTGTCATGTCCCCTGCGGGCCACCCTGCCTTGGAGTCAGCTGATCATGAACCGACACTTCTGCAGCTGAAAGCTACAATGAACCTCTCTTCCTTTAACTTCGGGTATTGAACTTTTGTCTCAGCGATGAGACAAGTAACTAAGACAGATACAGAGGAGCACGTAAGAGAGAAGGCCATGGGATGATGGAGAGAAACGAGAAGGAAATAACTACAAACTGAGGGGTGCCAGGAGCACCGGCCATCAGGAGAGGCTGAGGAGGAGACGCGGGACAGTTTTCCTTAGAGATTCTTTAAGGAACCAATCTGACCAAAACCTCAGGTTTAGACTTTTGGCCTCCTGAACAGTGATAACACACATTTCTTTTTCTTTTTTTTTTTACTAACATAAATTTCTATTTTTAAAGTCATCCAAATCGTGGTAATTTATTATGGCAACTGTGGGAAACATGTGATACACATGTTCATTGCAAACATCCAGCACATGTGTTTTGAATCTGCCTGCTGCATACACGTCACCAGATGGCCTTGTACACTGCCTGCTGTGCTGCAAACTGTCCTAAAGCATTAGGGAACTTTGTAGGGTGTGGGGGCGGGGGTCCCAGATGTAGTGTAAGAGAATTAGGAAGTCTTCCTAACACAAACTGGGTCCCACGTTCTGCTGTGTACCTAGGTGTTGGGGTGGGACCCTCACTCTCCATGGGAAGCAGGGGAAACATCAGGGTTTCTTGAATCAGACCAGGGTTAGATAAATGTAAGGAAGATGAGCAGAAGCAGGGAACATGCTTCCCAAGGATGGACCTCGGGGACCTGCTTCCCCATCCACTTCACAGGTAGAGGCAGTGACTTGGCCAGGGTCACACAGAGTAAGGACCTGAGTCCGAGCCGCTTACCTACTTCTGAGGCTTCTCTGCCTGCAGTCCTGACAGACACAGAAACGTTCACTGCAAGCTGTGTATCAGGCGGGCCCTGTTATAGTGCTTTACTTCAGTGACCTAATTTAATCTTCCTCTAAACCCCATGAAGACTATTATCTCCATTGTGTTGATGGGGAAAGTGAAGCCCAGGGCCCAGCGGTGAGAGTCACACAGCTGGAGGGCTGAAGGACTGAACCAGGCAGCCTGACTCAAGGCCCCTGCTCAGCCCAGCTCTCGGAGCATAGAAGGCAGCCAAGGACATGGTGCTCTCCAGGGTCAGCTGTTACCGCTCCTGCAGGCTGCAGTGCCCTTGTTTATTGGCTGAGGATTTATCACTGTTTGGGGAGAGGATGTCCAGGGCAGCGGGTGGTCAGAGAACTGGAGAGGGAGTTTTGAAAAGGCCAATGGTTTTGATGTGAATACGTGGTGAAATATGTATTTACAGAGAGAAACTTGAAAAGATTTAACTCTCTCTAGAATCTCTGCCATTATAAAGCAATTAACTATTAACCACAGTGAACTTTGGAGAACTTAATCTATGAACCTATTTTTGTGGGACATAACTTACAGGAATGGGGGAATCATATTTTTTAATAAGTTTGGTCATATTTTTCATGAAATAAATGTAAAATTCTACTTTTCTCTTTCTAAAGCTATTTGTTTTCTCTCTCCATTTCTATACAAATACTGTCTTTAGAATTCCTGCAATTCATTTTGAACCATATAATTTTCCTTATTTACCTTCTCTTTGAGAACTAGAGCCCCTTAACTAATAGTTTAATTTTCTAATTACTTTTCTGCCTCCTACTAGCACTGGAGAAGGAGCTAGAGGCTTTACTATGCAGCGGCCACAGGCAAAGCACTGTCTCTATAAGCTGTTCCTTTTTCTCTTTTTTGTTGAATTATGTTCTGTGGTCTGCTTTCTTGGGACTGGGATTAACCAACATCTACATTATAATATGCCTCCTTTTTTATCCTGTGGGGTATTTTTGCTTTTTTTGGCCTTTTTTGTTTTTATCAGTACCAGGGATCGAACTCACGACTGCCTGCTTGCAAGGCAGGCGCTTATGCTGCTGAGCTAAATCCTCAGCCCCATCCTGTGGGGTATATTTACAAAAATGTATTGCACCCAAAAACTGTTTTTACTTTTCATTTTTGTCTCAGCATTTCTGGAAAAGTGAATAAATTCCTCCTATAATAGCTTGCAGAATACTTGCCTCTAGGACTCTTTACAGGACACGAGTTTAAAGATAAGAGCTGGGTAGAAAAGTGTTTCTATGTGTGTTGCACAAGTGCCGAGATGTGGAGCACGGGCAGCCAGGGTACCAGGGCTGCCCAAGCAGTCACCTTAGTGTGGTGTAAATGGGACCATTTCGGGGAAGATGGCAGAGCAGTGAACAGCAGAGAAACAGTGATACTGAGGTTTATGTCTAAACTCTGGAACAGAGCAATATGAGACAGAGAAAAGAAGGGAAGTGGGTCCCAAGGATGTGAAAGAAGAACTGAAGCCCACGGGCAGTGCAGAGAGAGACCTCAACCCAGAAGGAGGAAGTGTCAGGTGGTGCTTTCTCCCTGAGCCATGACTCACTCTGTGAGTCGAATCTGCAGACTCACAGTGACTACTGCAACCTCAGAGACCTCCACTGAGAAACACACCAGGGAGCTGGAGCACTGGCTCTTCAGTAATTTGGGTTCAGATGTTCTGCAGGAGACAGCAATTGGCTGGAAACATCTTGGAGAGAGGACAGCTGAGCTGGAACTCAGGGCAGCCGCAGCCTGGCTCCAGCCGGAGGCTCCCAGTGTCAGGATGAGGCGGAACTGAGCTCACATCAGCGGGAGGTCGGGGAGCCAAGCCCAAGCTGGTGGGAGACACACGGAGCGTTGCAGGCTGAACGAATAGGGTTCCAGCCTCACAGCCAAAAACCAGCCTGAATTTCAGCGGAACTAAAGGTGCAGGGTTGCTGGGATTATCCACTATCTCTCTGTAACATGGTTGGGTTGCTGGGATCAACCAACATCGATCAGGACACGGAGCATGTCTGCTGGAGCACAGTCACAGCAAAGCCATGTCCTGAAGAGCACATTTTTTTTCTTATTTTTATTTCTTTTCTGTTCTTGCTTTTATGTGAATGTGAACACTGTTTCTAGTTTCCTTGTTGTTTTGTTCTGTTCTTGTGTTATGGTTTGTGTCTAAATGTCCCCCAAAGCCTCATGCAGTCATGAGGGTGGACCTTTCGAAGGCGGCTGAGTCTAGCATTTGTGATTGGTTCTTTGTCTGATGCTGGGACTGGCAGTGTGCGTGCTGCACCACCCAGGGGTAGGTAGCCTGCATACAGTGTGAGGGAGGGAAGGAGACATGCTTTCCCCCTTTTCCCCTTTTGCTCTTGTTGCTTCTGGTGTTTCCTGCAGCTGCCGTGTATTGCTCCTCAGCCGCATCCCCCTGACTTGGAGTCAGCTGAGTATGGACTGAAACCCCCACAAACTGTGAGCTAAATAAACCTTTCCTTCCTTCATTTTGGGTGTCAGGTATTTTGTCTCAGCAACAAGAGAAATGTAAACAAGACACCTTGTTTTTATTTTTACCTTCTTTTTTCCTTCCTGTCTTCTTCATCATTTCCCAAAGTTTGTGTAACTTTCTTTGTCCTCTAGCATTACTTCTATTTGCTTCCTCTTCTATTTCTCTATTTTTCCCCATCAGCACTTCTAAGTTTTCTCCCTTGAGGTTAAAATCACCATATTGAGGGCATATTTTTATTTTTTAATTTAAATTTTTTTTTGGTACCAGGGATCGAACTCGCGACTGTGTGCTTGCAAGGCAGGTACTTATGCCACTGAGCTAAATCCCCGGCTTGAGGGCATATTTACTGCATATAATTTTGATTTGTTTTAGATTTTGTTATATAATCACAAATACAGTTCACATAGTTAAAGGTGGCAAATTAATGTTTACCACTGTTTGCCATTTTCTGTACTGTGTTTGATGCTATTGTTATTGATTGTGCTACTTTAGCTAAGGTGACATAATTATACAATTAGTCATTCTTCCTGGTGTGCCAAAACTGAGATCACCTAAGGGTAATAAACAACATGGTAGGCCAGTGCACAGAACCAGGGGCCAGGCCAATAGGCAACAACTCCTCATTCCCAATAAACATCAGACATAGAGTATTGCAACAGTCAAAACCCAAAAATCAACTACACATGGAAAACATCTCTGAGTAGTCATTTCTGAAGGATTCTAAATACTAGTAATAAAGCTACCTGCCATAAGCAATTTATAAGCATAAACCTGGGAATTAAACTAAAAATATTAAAGAGAAAATGGAAAGACAGTTAAGCAAGATACAACCCCAGACTTCCAGCTCACCATGGCAAACCCGGGTGGTGCTGAGATGAAACAATTGGAAAGCCACCCACTTGGACTTTCCAAAGTGGGAAAGGTGGAGGTGATGAGGCAGATAAATGAGGCTCAAGACAAAAATCAAATCAGAAATAATCTCTGGGATAACTACAGAAATGGTGACCATAATGAAAGTCATGGTTTGTGACTCGAGAGCAGATTTTTAAAAAATAAAGGAGGCTAGGAAAATGACGGAAACAATGAATGCTAAACAGGAAAAAAAATGGAACACATGAAACAGATTCAAACAGATATACAGAAGATTAAAAATTCTACTGAGCACATCCCTAGTAGAATGACTCAGTGTGAGGACAATATCAGCTATAGAATACAGGATTGCAGTTAGTGGTCATGCAAAGGAAGGCTTCTTAAAATAGCAAGGGACCATAAAAAATGAATCCAGCAGCTGCTAGATGATGCAAATAAGAATAACATCAGATTAATCAGAGTCAATGAAAAAGCAGGAGACAGCACAAACAACATAACCTATTCACAAAATAACGCCAGAAAACATCCCAGGAATGGAAAAAGTATTTGGCACCAGATAAGCAAGGCATACAGAACTTCACTATCCATGACCAAAAAAACTACACCAAGGCATACAATAGTCAACATTCCAGAAATTCAAGACAACATAATATTAAAAGCTGTTAGAGAGGCTGGGGATTTAGCTCAGCAGCATAAGCGTCTGCCTTGTAAGCACGCAGTCGTGAGTTTGATTCCTGCTAGCAAAAAAAAGCTATTAGATAAAAGAAACAAATCATATATAAAGGAAAGCCCATCAGAATTACAGCAGGCTTCTCAACATAAATCCTCAAATCAAGAAGAGCTTAGAGGGAAGTATTTCAAGCCATAAAACAAAATAAAACCAAACACCTTTCCAACCTAGATTGATATACCCTGTAAAACTAACTTTCAAAATTGATGGAGAAATACGATACCTCCATGACAAAAAAACACCTCAAGAAATTCATGACCACCAAATCAGCACTCCAAAATGTTCTGAAGGACATTCTGGAAAGAGACAAGATTGTTGTAGTCAGAGTTTGCAAGGAAAACAATTTAATATAGGACACATAATTTATAGTACTATTTTGTAATCGTTACCCAAAGAGTCAAATATAAAAAAATCCAGGAAATCTGTCCACACACTAGAGACCCAAAGAATCCAGCTAAGGGCATGAATGTCGATGTGCTACACAAGGCCAGCTGAAGACTCAGAGTCCATGACAAATGATCCTGACAAGTCCAACTGGCGGCCTACAGCCTGCAACAATGTCTCATGCAAGTGTGTTCCATGGATCTGCACTGGAAAGGCCCAAAGGTCATGGCGGAAGCTAGAAAGTCTATGACAGTGTCATAAAGGACCTATTCCACCATTGGAGACAGGAAGTGATGCACAAGGTAAGGACCAGATCTTCCCCCAAAAGTATCAAGTCATCCTCAGTGATAACGAGGTCCCAAGCTTCTCCAATGATGGGAACAGCCGAGTTCACATCAGGAAAGCCAGCGTGATCAGCTTCTCCAAAAGAACCAACAGCTCCAAACAACAACAGTGCTTAGGAGAACCTGCAGTGCTGCTCTTCTCTTCTTCACGTCTCCCTTTTATGCTGGCAACAGTCCTCACCACACTGATTCAGTTCAACTGTGGTTTAAGTTAACCATCAGTTTTCAGTCCACTACAGCTCACATGAGGAAGAAAATTATAAAGATCAGACTAGAAATTAATGTAATGGAGACTAAGAAAACCATACAAAGAATCTGTCAATTGCAGAGCTGGTTCTTTGAAAGATTAAATAAAATTGGTGATTACTTAGACAACCTTATCAAAAAAGAAAAGAAAAGACCCAAATCCATGCAATTAGGAATGAAGAAGAAGAAATTAAAACAGACCCTGCAGAAACCCAGAAGATCATCAATACCTACTCTGAGAATTTTTATTCTTTTTTTTTGTCTTTTTCATTTGAGAATTTTTATTCTAATAAGACAGAAAAGGCAGAAGAAATGACAGATTCCTAGTACAAATGAATTAACAAAGCTGAATCAAAAAGATACAAAAATTCTAAATAAACCAATATCAGTAAAAAAAAAAAATCAAAGATGTAATTAAGAACCTATCAACAAAGAAAAGCCCAGGCCCTAACCAAACAATTGCTGAGTTCTAAAAGACATTTAGATGGAGAAAACAGGAGACATTGTGGTAGCCACTACTGATTTCCTGATGTTTTGAAATCCTGTATTGCTTGCATTGTTTTGTTCTGGTCTGCTTTATTCTGTTCTGTTTTGTTTTGTTTTATTTTATTTTAAAAAAAAGACATTTAGAGAATACGTAATGGTCCTACATCTCAAACGCTAATGAAATTGAAAGGGAAGCTAGTCCTCCCAAATTGATTCCTGGAAGCAAGCATCAGCCTGATATCAAAGCCACAGAGATCCAACCAAAAAATAGAACTGTAGGCCGATCTCTAAACTGAGCATAGATGCAAAAATCCTCTCAATAGCTCAGTGGCATAAGCACCTGCCTGGTAATCACAAAGTTGTGAGTTTGATTCCATATACCAAAAAACAAAAAACCTCTCAAAAAGATAATGGAAACAATGGAGCAAATCACCCAGAAGATTATACACCATGACCAAGTAGGATTCATCCCAAGGATGCAGGGATGGTTCAACATACGTAAGTCAGTTAACAGAATACACCATAGTAAAGAGCCAAGAATCAAAACCATATGATCATCTCAAGAGAGGCAGAAAAAGCATTTGACAAAATCAAGCATTTGATAAAGTTTGACAAAGGCAAAGTACAATACCGGTTCATGATAAAAACCCTCCAGAAGACTGGAACAGAAGGTCTTTATCTCATCTGATAAAAGCCATCTAAGAAAACCAACAGCCAACATCATACTAAATGGACAAAAGCTGAAAGCTTTCACTCTAAAATCAGGAACAAGACAAAGATGTCCAGTATCTCCACTCTTATTTAATATAGTTCTGAAAATATAAATTATATTAGCCAGAACAATTATAATGAAAAGAGAAATAAAAGGAATAAAGGTTGGAAAGAAGTTAAATAATCATTATTTGTAGATGACATGATACTCCATACAGAACACCCCAAAAACTCCACCAAAAGACTTCTAGATTTAATTACCAAATTCAGTAGCATGGCTAGATACAAAGTCAACACTCAAAAATCAATATCTTTTCTATATACAAATAACAAACTCACTGAGAGAGAAATTAGGTAACCAACACCTTTCACACCAGCATCCAAAAAATTGAGATACTCAGGAGTCAACCTAATTAAGAAAGTACAAGACCTCTACATTGAAAACTATAGTACTCTGGAAAAGGAGATTGAAGAGAGTATCAGAAAATAGAAAGGTATCCCTTGTTCTTGGGTAGGAAGAACCATGCAAAATTGTTATACAGACTTAATGCGCTTCTTTTTTATTTTAAAGAGAAAAAAAAAGCACAGAAAATTTAGAAAGCAACCAATCAAACGACAAACAAACAAACGAATAAAACCAACAAAGGCCAAACGATGACAACAAGAAAATAGTGATACAGGATATCAAAATAAGACGGTAGGAGTTTAACAGTAGATATTGTATTATGTGTTGTTATCTTCAAAATAGTTGCTCAGGTTACCAGAGACAGGGATGCGAAATTGATCAAACGGTGATTTCCCTTGAGCAGTTTCTTTCCCTTCCACTGTATCTATTGTGACTTTTGGGTCTTCTTCAGTTTCTTACACTAGTGAGACAATACTGTGTTTACACATGTGAGTCCATTTTATTTCACTTAGGAGTGTGGTCTCTAGTTGCATCCATTTAGCTATAAAGGCCTCAGGTTTATCTTTTATAGATGAGTGATACTCCATTGTATAGAAATACCACATCTTTTTTATCCATCCCGTGGTTGATGGGCATTTGGGTTGTTTCAAATGCTGTTACAAATTGTGCAACCATAAACATGAGTGCACGTATGTCGCTGTGGTATTGTAGGAGACAATCTGAGTGACTCCCTTTGCACCCAGAACAACTGCTGCAATATCAGCCTTCTTTCCTTATCCTGTTAGGTACAGAGTGGGCTACGCTGTTCCCTTCTCCCTTCAGCAGGCTCTAAGTGATGCAGATAAGGCCAGCTATGGTACTAGTGTGTAATCTTTTACACCAACTGACAGTTTCCTGTTTCCTCCCATTGCACTCTGTAAAAGATCGAAGTGCAGCAGGACGGCAGAGCCAGTCAGCTCCAGGAATGTCAACTGGGTAGGAGCCTCAAGGGAGAGGTTACGACTCCCAGGGCACAAACGTTTACACATCAGAAACTGAAGAAACAGCCTCCTAATACAATTGAAACGCTACCTTAATTGAATTATGCAGACTAATCCTTCTGTGGATCATGCTGTCTGCATTTTGCAGAGATGCTTCTCTCCGCACCTGGCCAGCCAACCGCAGTTACCCACGTAGTTCCCGCCGTCCTCACTGCCACTCACCCTTGGACCCCCTTCTTCACAAGGTGATAAATTCCGGGAGAGGCCCGAGATCAGGCCTCTGTCCGCACATCCTCACTTGGATCAGGCTTAGAACCCCTTGGCTGCCCTCACTGTGAATATGTCTTGACGTCTTTACTCAAACTATGGGTTGTGTGGGAGGTGGCAGATTGGAATTAACCATCGGGATTCCAATAATGTTTCGATAGGATTACAAATATAACTTTGTGGATTGTGAGGAAGGGTAGAAAAGGGATTATAGTACTTGGATTACAGAATTCATTATTTGGATACAATATGGCATGATATTTTCAATTCTTCTGGGAAATACCCAGAAGGGGGATAGCTGGGTTGAATGGAATCTCTAATCCTAGTCTTTTGATTTTCCACACTGATTGCACAGTGCTTTTATCAGTCTGCCTCCTACCAGCAATGTGGAAGGCTTCCTTTTCCCCCACAGCCCCTGCAGCATTTCTTATTCATTGATTTCTTGATGTTAGAGCCTGATATTCTTTCTGGACTGAGACAGTATCTTGGTGGTGTTTTAATTTGCATTTCTGGAATGACCAGTAATGCTGAACATATTTTCGTATATTTATTTGCCATTTGTATTTCTTCATCTGAGGATTACTTAATGTACTTCTGATCAAAATTCTAACAGCATATCACCCAGAATTAGAGAAAACAATCCTAAAATTCATTGAAACCAGAAGAGACCTAGAATAGCAACGGCAATCCTGGGCAACAAAGACAAGACAGGGCGCATCACAATCCCAGACTTGAAATTATACTACAAAGCTACTATGATTAAAAACAGCATGGTAGGGGCTGGGGGTTTAGCTCAGCGGCATAAGCACCTGCCTTGCAAGCAGGCGGTCGTGAGTTCGATCCCTGGTACCGATAAAAATGAAAAAGACAAAAAAAAAAAAAAAAAAAAAAAAAAAACAGCATGGTACTGGGGAAAAACAGACCTGAGGATCAGTGGAGCAGATTAAAAGGTGCAGAAACAACTCCAGACATTCTTAGCCACCTTCTCTTTGATAAAGGTACCAAACACATTCACTAGAAGGTAACCTCTTTAATAGATGGAGCTGCAAAAACTGGCTTTCCACATTGCCGAAGATTACAATTAGACCCGTATCTTTCACCAGGCACTAAACTAATACTGAAATGGATCAAACATGTAAATATGAAAGCAGCATTAAGTCTGCTGGCAGGCAGAATAGGTAGAGCTCTTGAAGACACTGGTGTAGGCAGCCTGGATGAACAAAGCTCCAGTCTCAAAGGAACCGTCACAAAGAATCAACAATGGGATCTCATCTCATTAAAAAGCTTTTGCACAGCAAGAGAAACCATCAACAGACTGAAGAAACAACCCACAGTGTGGGAAATAATGTTTGCCAGCTGTTCCTCAGACAAAGGATTACTATCTAGAATTTCCAAAGAACTCCCTCCCAAAGTTAAAGACCTAATCCAAAAATGGGCATCTGAGAAAAATACCCATTTCTCATATGGAGAAATGCATACAGCAAATAAATATAAAAATATATTCAAAATCACTGGTCATTTGAGACATGCTAATTAAAACAATACTGAGACTCTATCTCACCCCAGAAACAGTGGCTATTATCAAGAAATCAACCAATAACAAATGTTTGAGAAGTGCTGGGAGAAAGGAACCCTTTTCCACCATTGGTGGGAATGCAAACTGGTGCAACCACTGTGGAAATCAGTGTGGAGATTTCTAAAAAAAGCTAGGACCCAGTTATTTTCCTTCTTAATATCTCCCCAGAAGAATTAAAAGCATCATATCACAGTGATATGTGCACACCAATGTTTATAGCACCACAGTTTGTAATAGCTTAGCTGTGGAAACAGCCCAAATGCCCATCAACTGATAAATGGATAAAGAAAATGCCATGTTTTTGTCTGCAATGGAATACCACTAAGCCATAAAGAAGGATAAGCTTGAGACATTTCCAGATAAATGGGTACACCCTGAGGTCATACTGTTAAGTGAAATAAACAGGACACACGTGTTTAAATATCACATTGTTTCTCTGGTATGAGAAACCTAAAGTGTAAATAAGTACCAAAATGTGTAATAGATACTGGGAAATGGGAAGAAAATGTTCAAATGAGCAGGGAAACAAGAGAAGGGGAAGGGGGGAAAGGAAAGAAGGGACAAGAAAAAAGAATAGAAAGAAAAATAGAAATACAGCTTTTGTAAATAAGGAGGGCAAGAGGGGTTGAATGGAGCAGAAGGGAATGGTTTTTACCATTTATCAAGGGGGGAAAAAAGCAGCAGCAAGTTACACCACATGCAGGTACAAATTCCCTGTGATGAATTCTATCATTACACAGTTCCACAATATACCAATGAGAGAGAGAGAGGGGAGGGGAGGGGAGGGGAGGGGAGGGGAGGGGAGGGGAGCAGAGCAGAGCGTTTTCCTGTGTGCTAGGAGGCCGGGGAGGCTGCGATGGCCAGGGCAGGTGGGCGGGCACGGAAAGGGTGCAGAGCGGGCGCACCTGGAGGAGCTCCCTCTCCAGCCTCCTCCGCTGTAGCCGGCCCAGCTTCGAGGCCCTCTCGGCCTCTTCAGTCAGGAGCTGGAGTTGCTGTTCCTTCCGCCGCGCATCTTCCTGGAGCTTCTCCATGCTGGATGTTTTCATGCTGTCTAGCTGCTGCCGGGCGAGGGCCTCCTGGCTCGCCCTGTGCTCTGACTCCTTCAGCAGCTGAGCCTGTGGAGGAAAGGGCCACAGGGAAACAGAGGGAACGGTTTCTTCCTGACAGCGGCAGGTCTCCGTGGAGGAGACAGCTTGGCTACCCCAGCAAGTGATGATGCTATCTGGACATTTATTTGTTTGAAGGTTTTTTTTTTTTGGTGGTACTGGGGATCGAACTCAGGACCTCGCACTTGCCAGGCAGATGCTTATGCCACTGAGCTAAATCCCCAGCCCCTATCTGGACATTTATTTACAAGACAGGGCCTTGCTATGTAGTGCAGGCTGGCCTTGAACTCGCTTGTGTGGACCAGGCTGGCCTCCAACACACAAAGATCCTCCTGCCTCAGCTTCCTGTGTGCTGGGATTACAGGCATGTGCCATCACGCCTGGTAAATTGAACTTTTAACACCAACATTTGATGAACATGTGTGTGATACGTAGCTTATTAACCAAATAATCACATTTATCAGATAGTTTGCATTGTCGTGGGTTAACACAGACCATAAAGCAATGAATTAGAGAATTCTGACTCTGGCTGTTTTGACTTGCAAAATAGCTTTGCGGAAGCCAGATTCTGGAGGATAAAAAGTAGTAATAATTTGGTTCTATCCCAAAGTTTTTAAAATCAGTAGCACTCCAAGAATACAAAGAGGTCAATTCTTAGTCATAATCTTAACAATGATTGTCATATTTGTATGGTGCCAGTACTTTATATGACCAACTCACATCTCCAGGTACTCATCGGAGAATTAGGGTGCAAAAAAGCACAAATTACATTGCACGCTCTCAATATGCCCCACTTTCCTGGTCTGATATTTAAACTTAGCTGTTCTGACTGTAAGCTGGGACAGTTGTGGGGTGCTGACTTACTTGAACGCATTCAGGCGTATTTCAGAGCATTTTTCATGAACTAAAGGGGTCTACACCTGAAGTCTCTGGCTTCACTCACAGCAGGGGCTTGGCATGATTCTGAAAAGCCGAGAGCCCTTTATCGTAGGCCTGCTTGCCTCCCTTCTGAAATCAAGACAGTGTAGCTCACTGGCAAGGACCAGAGACCCTCTGTCTGGGCGGACACCGCAGGCTGGACACACTCCCTGCTGTGGAGAGTGCTTGGAGGAGCCGTACTCACGAGACCTTGGTCCTGAGGTACACTTTGATCCTGATGAGTAATACCCTTGCATCATAGCCAAAAACAAGCAAGCATAAAAGCCTCCTGGGCACAGGCTTGGTTTCTGGGCTGGAGTTGGGGGGAGGCCAAGGTGTGTCATCCACCTAGCTTCCCCCTTGCAGCCCTGGTGGCCGTTCTGACAGTCACGGTGCTGCACTGTGGCCATGCTTGGCTTTGCAGACTGTGTCCAGAGACAGGGAGGAGGAGGAGGAGGGGGAGAGGGAGGGGGAGGAGGAGGAGGGGGAGGAGGGGGGAGAAGGAGGGGGAGGAGGGAGGGAGGAGGGGGAGGAGGAGGGGGGGAGGAGGGTGAGGAGGAGGAGGAGGTCTTGAGGCCGAGGTACCTGCTTATTGAGCTGTCGCCACAGCCTCTCATTGTCAGCCCGAGCCCTGGCCAGCGCCTGCCGGAGAGCCAGCAGCTGCTGACGGAACAGACTCGCTTCTTGTTCGGCCATGAGCTTGATGCGGGAACATTCTTTCTTACTTTGAATAGATTCCTGTAAATAGTACGGGAGGAGGTAAGTGTCCTTTCCATAGTTAGTTTCACGGTCAGTATCTGAAGCACTTCATCCTCGGTCCTCCTTTAAAACTCCAGGTAGGACGGATCTCTTGTTGGTCACCACTTTTGTGATTTTTAATGATCAAAGGCACAGTGGTTCAGGGTAAAGATTCTCATAAATGGTAAATAGAAATTCGCAAACCTCCATCAGTGTATATTTGGGTTTCTATTTGTCTTGAAGCAGAACCTCCTCGTATTATTTTGTGATTTCATTTTCCTCGGATTATCACCCATGAAACCCAAAGACGGGCGGTATTTGGGCAAAGCAACCTGGAGTCCTGGATGCAAATCCCTCTTCTACCATTTCATTTCCCGTGTGCTCCATTCTCTGAGAGCTCTGTTCTCCCTGGCAGTTGCTTGGGTTTCTATCCTGTTGCTACCTAGGCTCTGATGGTGCTCCTTCCCAGGAAAACCCGCCAGCCTTTGCCATGGCTGCACCAGGAGCACTCCGTCCGGGGCCGCCGGCGTCCCGTGTGCACTCACCTTCTCTGCCCTGCTCAGCTGGCCCCGGAAGCGGGCCCGCAGCACAGCCAGCCGCCAGCGTTCCAGGCTCCTCACTTTGCACAGCAGAGCGTCCAGCTGGCTGTTCTCCTGCTCCAAGGCCTGCAGCTGCTCCTGCCAGCCAGGCTCACTTGCAGAAAAGACTCCCTCCAACACTTGTCCCTGAGGAAGGGGATGAAGCTCAGCATCAGAAACTGGCCTTCCGGAAGAGGACGCACTGTTGTGAATCCAGTGCCTATTTATTTATTTTGCAGTGCTGGGGGTTGAATGTAGGGCCCCATGCGTGTTGAGCAAATACTACATCCCCAGCCTCTGTTTTACTTTTTGACAGGGTTTCTCTGTAGTCCAGGCTGGCTTTGATTTTGTGATCCTCCTGCCTCAGCTTCCCAAGTAGCTGGGATCAGAGGCATGAGCCACTGTGCCTTTCTCCCAGTGCATTGTATTCTCAAGGGGAACCAGACTGGGGTGTTAACAGTGAATAATTGGGTAAATACTGGGATGAAACTCTTAATAAAATCACATACTTTTTAATCCAGGCATGGTGGTGCACATCTATAATTCCAGCACTTGGGAGGCTGAGGCAGGAGGATTACCATGAGTTTGAGACAAGTGTGCGTTACAAAGTGAGTTCAAGGCCAGCCTAAGCCATTTAGTGAAACTCTGCCTCAAAAAAAACCAAAAAAAAAAAAAATCACATACTTCGGCTGGGTTTTCTTTTGGTCCTCTGTCGGGTCTGGCCGAACCCCATTTTTCCTTTAGCTTTTCCATCCTGGCAATCCCTTCTGTTCTGACTTCACCGATGAGCTCACGCACGTGCTGCATCAAGGTAAGCTGATTCTCATCCAGCTTCTCCTGGAAGTGGCAGGCTCAGGTCAAGGCAGCAGGAAGGCAGTGAAGAACGAGCTATCCCGCCCTCTAAAATGTAACTTTGGGGAGCGGTTTCACACTAGAGGATCCCTGCCCCACAATTTCCCTGACGTGCAGTACACGGAGTCACACTCGGGGTCCCTGAGCACTGGCGTCACCTCCAGGGCACCGCTGCTCGGCCCTGCACGTGCTCTGCCAAGGCGATGAGCCAGGTGTGCGGTGGGCAGAATGGCGAGGGGGTGCAGGCAGAGAACCCCTGAGCAGATCTCCCCGGAGGGTGGCACAGAAAGCTGAGCTGAGGATTTCGCTGCCAGGTTAGCTCAGAGCAGAGTCTGACCACAGAAGACACAGGAACTCTGTTAACCACGGACAAGTGGAGGAGGAGGTCAGCAGCTTGCCTTCCACTGTAAGGCCCAGCAGAAACCTCACCGGGAAACATTCCCGGCTGAAACCTTCACCACTACCAGAAGAGATAAGGTCATAAGGAAGTAGTTAAAGTTGAGATAAGGCCACAGGCAGGGCCCTATTCTGATAAGCCTGTGGCTTGACAAGAGGGTTATAGACCCCACCCTTTTTTTGCTCTCCGTCTTGTGAGGACACCCAGAAAGGCAGCCATCTGCAAACTAGAAACAGTCCCTGCCGATCTGTGACAGCCACAGGACACTTACTTTTATGTTCAAAGAGGTCACAAACAAAGCTTGGACTAACGCTTCGTATTCTTCTTGGACTTCTTTTCTAGTCTGCTTTTTGAGGTTCATGTTTTCCTCTTCTAAATCCGTGAGCTGAGCTCTCAGGCCTGTGAGTTCCATGATCAGATCGTGACTGAGCTCTGCAACCTAGGATGACACACGGCTGAGTTAGGGGAGACATCACAGGCAGCGGCCAGCGCTGGGCCCTCCCAGGGCAGAGATTGGAACTGTGGCTGGAGGTGCTTGTGCAGAGAATTTTACATACTTCCCTAAGGGATTTACGAACTAGAAGTTGAGATTTATTGGTGCCACCCTTTTAGATTTCCCACGTAAATAAACCATTGTCTCATTAGGGGTGGGCCATCCTCTTCCACTGGGAATCAATCAGACTAAAAGACAACTAAACCAAAGACAAGGGGCTGGGGACAGAACTCAGTGACACAGCTCCTGCCTGGCCTGTATCAGGTCCCCAGTTTGATTCCTGGTCCAAAACTGCCCCCTCAGGGGACAAAACACAATTACAAAAAAGTCTCTTTAAAACCAAAGACAAGACTAAAAGTAGAGATTATCAACTAAGGCTAATGATGTCATCCATACGCCCCTGCTATTACTGGATCAATATTAGCTAAATTATAATCTTATTGGCTACATTATAATCTTATTGGTTGCTTATAATTTGACCCACATGATACTCACCTCTTACGACTTTGCTCTACAAAACTTTCTCAATGAAGTGGGTTCGCTGGCAACCCATTTGGAATTTCTTTTGTCTCGCAGGAGCTCTTCCTTTTCCCCAATAAATTTTCCTACTCTTAACCTTTGCTGATCCTTAGAATTCATTCTTTGACTTCAGGGAACACAAACTTGGTATATCTGACCTCCAGTAGGTTGAGGGTTACATATTTTTCATCTCTATCACTAGCAGCGGAAATACACACAAACAACCCAAACTGCTAGGGGAGAAATAGTTCCTCATAGATTGGTATAGAAATCACACTTTTTTCCAGGCGTGATGGCACATGCCTGTAATCCCAGCCCTGGGGAGGCTGAGGCGGAGGGTCTCTGAGAGTTTGAGGCCACACTGGGTTACAAAGTGAGTTCAAAGCCAGCCTGTCATTATCTCAATATCTGTTATACATTTTAGATCTTATTACTTTCAGATTATTATTATTATTTTATATAGTAATGAAAGGGAAGTTCTCTAAAGAATATAACTGTATGTATAAGTATGCAAGAAAGATAACCATATTACTAAGTTTTTGTTAGTTCATCAAACAGCATGGTCTGTACTGCCATTGTTTGATTGTCCACTTTTTATGCTTTGATTTTGTGACTTGAGCAATTACTTCTAAGATGACAATGTACAATTTATCAACTAGTGATTTCTTACTTTTTGTTTGAAATTCTGTATCATTTCTCCCCTTTTTTTCTGCTTTGCCTTTTCTCTAAAAACAAAAAAAAAGCCATCCTGTACTGGGCAGTGAGATTGTCTCAAAAAAAGAAGAAAGGGGAGGAGGAGAAAGAGGAAGAAAGAAAAGAAATTTCACTTCTACTTGAACCTAAGGAAGAAGAGAACTATCTTGCTGTGCAAACATGGCAGAAGAGGTCGGGGGTACAGCTCAGTGGCACAGCGCCTGCCTGGCAAGCACAAGGTCCTGAGCCTGTTCCCAGCACCAAAAAAACAAAAAGTGGACAGAGGAATCTCAGGTTGCCTCAAAGGCCTCAGGTCAGAGCCAGATACCCAGCGCGCTCACAGTGCGTGGTCACGGAATCCTTCACCCCAGAGGAACTGCAACCTAAGCACCATTCAGCCGGAGGAAATACTCCATCCTCTTGACCTTTATCTCCACAAGAGCCGTCCTTTGACACCTTCACCTAACACCTCTTTACATTTGGAATAAACATTAACTGGCCTCAGAAGAATGCAAACAGCATCCTCCAACAACAGAAACACACCCCGCCCGCCCCAATATAAAAGTTTGAAAACAACTTTTCCCTACTAAAGGGAAAGAGGCTCCTAAGGAGGACTGCTTACAGAGAGTGAAAACATACTCCTTGGGTGTTTCTGCATGAACTTCCTGGACAGGACTTCCTGGACAGATGACTCAAGCAAATGACCCTCTGAAGTCCCAACCTGGCCAGCGCTGAGATGTGGATGTGAGGGGGCAGAAGAGGACCTCTCAGGAGCTCACCTACCTGCCCAGCGTGGTCTTCCGGTGGAACCTGACTTCTCTGCAGCACATCTAATTCCTGAGAAGGGAAAACCAATGACAGCCACGCTCAGATGTTTAGTCCTGCAGCCAACTGGGTGCAACCCTCCTGACCCCTGCTGACATTCCCCAAGTCCATCCATCCGTTGGAGACCCTCTCATCAGTGCAACTGGCCCATGCCAGAGAATTTCCTTAATTATTTCTATTTACAGCAGGAAGAGCACACAGTGCTTTGGTTTCATGAGGGAGGAAAGCTCAGGGATGCAGCTTCCCCGAGGATCACCTCTCCTTTCCCTGTGGACACCGCCAAAGCACAGAACACTGTGTTGCCGGGGCCATCGTGACTGCAGCTAAGGATACCAGAGACCAAGAAAACAGGCCACTGAAGAGAGACATCTGGACAGGACCATTCCCCCTCAGCTCAGGCCCAAGCACCCCCCACCTGGCGCCCACCCCATGCTGCAGTTTCATTTCCTCCCCTGAGGGATCTTGGGCTCCCTCTGCTCACCGCGGGCTCCCTGGGCACCCACCTGCTCTCTCTGGTGCAGCCTCTGCCTTGCGTGCTGCAGTATGTGCTCGTAACACATGGAGTAGGTCTCAAAGCTGCTGCGCTCTCGTGCCATCACATCACATCCCAGGGAGAGCAGGCAGGCCTCCAGGTGCTCTTTCCTGAGCGTGACCTGGAAAGCAGGGCACCATCTGCAGCAGCTCTGGCAGGCATCCAGGCAGCCTCTCCACACCAGGGCTCAGGGCTCACGTGGCCTTGGCTCACAGATGCCTTTTGTTCCCCTCTGCACCGAAACATTGGCTCTGGACCCATGAGCCCTTGCTCTGAGCATGCACAGGGCCAGCTCCAAGAGGATAAATAGAGGCTGGCCTGTCTGTCTAAATATTGAAAGGTTCTAAGTCAAATCACGGACTATTAAAATGTAATGTTTAATTCTCTGATCTTGAAAGACAGACCTTCAGAATGATGTGGAAGGCCAGGTTTGCACTTGTGATTCACAGACGATGCTGAGTTCTATTCAGAAGTGTGATCATCTGGGGACAGCAGTCCCCAGAGTTTACCGTGTCACTTCTTTATGTATTGTGAGGGCCCTTGGATGTATAAGAATACAAGATGTATACCAATCAAAAGGTGTGTGTGTCTGTGTGCATGTTACTGGGGACCGAACCCAGAGCCTTCATGTTAAGACCTTTCATTAGCCTTTTTTTTTTCTTTTCATTTTGAAACAGGTTTTTTCCAAGTTGCCCAGGCTGGGCTCAGACATTCAGTTAATTCTCTTGGCTTAGTACAAGTGCACAGCACCATGTTGGGCTTACGAAAGGCATTGACTGCATCAGCTTAGCAGGATGCAGTCAGGATGGGCCATGGAGTCAGATGGAAGGCTTTGCTCCCATAAGACTGAATGAGCAGCAGCCAGGCATCTGGGGGCAGGAGCTGAGCTTCCCCGGCTCACTCTCCAAGGCCCACTCAAAGGCCCCTTCAGTTCCCTATCACCCTTCTGGCCCCCACTTAGCCACTGGAGAGTGAGTGCCAGGGGAGCCATCACTAGCTGTCCACACCGAGCTGGGCATGGTGGCACACACCCGTAATTCCAGCACTCAGGAGAAGGTGGAGCACCCCAAGTCTGAGGCCAACCTAACAACATCTCAGCTCAAACAGAAAACAAAAATGAGCAACACACACAAAGCAAAGGGAACTCTAGATTCTGTCCCTTGGACCCTGACACCTGCGTGGTTGAAGAGCTTAGCATAAAAAGAGCTGTGACTGACCCACTTTGATGAAAGCCCAAAGCTAAGCAAAGTCACAGGGTCACTTGTGAGTCTCTCCAGGTGTGGCTGTTATAACCTATATATAAAATACCCTCATAAGTCTCCTCAGAGGCAAGAAAAAGATCAAAGGTAACTCTAAGAGAACAGGATGTCTTCCTAATCTAAACTTGCTTGTTTGTAGGGTAACTTGCTTGTTTGCAGGATGTGCCTTCCCCCAGAGGATGTTTGCCTAATCTAAACTTGCTTGTTAGCCCAACCCTTACTGAACCTTGCTCTTCCCAAGAAATGTAATCGCCATGTTCCTGTTCTGTAGTGCGCCACAAACCCACCCCCTCCTTGCATTGTGAGACTAGCAGCTGTTTGTGGTTTCACAAGATAAAAACCCTGCCCTTTAGCTGTTAGGTGCGCAGTCGTCCATATTGCCTACCGGAGGCTGTGTCGCCAGGCCTGGCCTAAAATAAAGCCTTTGCTCCAAATTTCTTAATTTCTTGCTTCCTTGGATTTTATTCTGGGGTCCGAGCTATCACAGTGGCCAGTGCCCTCACCTGGGCCAGTGCTTGGAGCCAGCCACAGTGACTCACCCTGTGCTGTCCTGGGCACAGTGCCTGCTCCCAGGTATAGGGCAATCACTCCTCATGCTGCTGGTGCTACTACTGCACTGCAGAAATAGATGGCAGACTTGAATCACAGTGCCCTCTGCCATCCTCGCCTAGCCAACATGGTGCTTCGCTTAGCGAGGGGGGAGACTTGTTGGTGGTGAGTCTGTGTGACACCACATCGGCAGGACCGGCCAGTATGCCTTCCCTTGGGTGCCTCCAGAAGCTGTGTTGCTTGTGTCTCTCAGTGGTGTCTGTGCTGAAGTCCCAGGAGTCCGGCTGAGTGGTCAGCTCAAGGGTGGCCCTGAGGGAGTGAGTCTGAAGGCAGGGAGGTAGTAGAGGCACTGGCAGAGCCCCTGGGGAGGGACAGGGAACAGGAAATGTGTTCTTCCTGGGGCAGGCAGGGTGTGGGCTCTGACAGGTGAGGGAGACATCTGGGTAGCTCCCAGCAGCCCTGCCCTTGGGTGAACTTTGTCCTGCAAACCGTGTACCTGGCCTTCCAGAAACAGCACTGGGAGCCTCTGGATCAGAAATTGCTGGAAATTAGCCTCGCTGGCTTCTGCTGGCACAACCTGGGAGCTCTCAGTGCTGCTCCCCAGCCCACCTGCCTTCCTGGGTTGCTGTCAATGTGACCTCTGCTCTGTCAAAATGCAGCCTGCGCCTCCTCTGCTCATTTTCCCTGGGGCCAGCAGGGGCCTGAGTCAGCCCCTTCAGCAGCACGGCCCCTCTGGGCTGATTCTATCACCAGAATTTGGATCTGAGCCATGATGGGTGGTGCCAGAGGGAAAGAGCACTAAACTGTCCAGGTATTTTCCCCGAGTGCCAATCTGGGGTGGAGCACGCTGGGCGCCAGGCCGGCCACAGCGGAATCTGTTGCTGCACCATGCGGGGAGCACACTGTGGTCTTTCGGTTCACTTCCTCTTAGAACTCCTCATCATGAGGTGTTTTGAGTTCCGCTGACAAAGTGCCCCCGGGCTTCTCATTCACTCGGTAAACCGACAGACGATGCCCAAGGGCTGCACACGAGGCCACTGAGCACCGAGGCTGCCACTCTGAACTCCGAGTACTTCCCCAGGGCACTGTGTCCTTCTTCCTCGGCCTTTCTCTCTCTGGCTGACTCCTAAGTGTGCTTCAAACGCCACCTCTTCCAGGAGGCCTTGTTCATTCCAGCTGGCTGTGTGTCCCTTCTGTGAGCTCAGGCGGTGCCCTGGGCGTCCTCCTCTGGACTTGCTGTTCACCTGTCCGTAGCTCTCGAGGGCAGGGCCTTTCCATTTTGCCTTTATATCTCTAACAAAGTGGCCAGAGTTTTAAAAAGAGGACACTGATAAATCCTGTTGACTGAGTGAGATTTCCTTGGCATAGAAATGAAAAGCATTCTGGAATCCACAAATAGGCTATGAAGGCTCTCGATTTATGAAAAAGTCAGTCTCTTCAGGCCAGAGTGTTTGATAAAAGACTCGGACAAGATGTTAGAACTGATGAGGAAAGACTGGTTTTCTGAAACTGAGAGAGAAAGCAAGATGGGAAGGCAACACGGGCTCAGGACAGATCGGTCAGAGCAGCAGGGTGCAGGTACCTGCGTTCAGCAGGACATCTGAGCAGGCAAACAGGGAGAGACGGCCCGGGGGACGGGACAGCCACCAAGAGACTGTGTTCAAGAACCTGCACAGCCGGGGGCACCTGGGGGGCCGTGCAGGGGCTCTGGGGTGCTGTGGGATCCGCTGTGTCGGTGAACACGACACTGAGGGTAAAACTGGGAAATACCGGATGATACCAGCCCACACGTTTAAAGACCTCAGAAGCCCAAAGTGTACAATGAATGCAATAAAAACAAAGCAGATATTATGGAGCAGCAGAACGTCTGAGTGCAAGTGTGGGCAGGGCTGCAGCTGCGATGTGGCCGCCCAACCCCAGCACACTCCTAGAAACGAATGCAAGCCGAACACCGGGGACAAGGTCACTGTTTGTGATCCAAACAACCCTGAATTTACAGAGGAGTGACAGGAGGGCAGGGGTGTCCCTAAAACCAGAAGGAAATGCAGACGTCTTGGTCCGATGCAGGGCAGGGCCCGGAGGTGCCCTGTGTGGGCAGGAGCGCTTGCCTCTTTCCCAGTCTCTGTCCTGGCCCAGAGCCCAGCCATCCGAGGGAGGTCAGTGGCTTGTCCACCACTGAGCAGGCACCTGCTTTTGCTTTGTGCTTCCAGAGAGCTCTGCTGGAATGGGCAGGCTTCCCAAACACAAGCAGGGGCTCTCGAGACAGCTTGCAGAAGAGCTCCCCGGGCATCCAAAGGCTGCTTGTTGGGGGTCCGTACCCTGATCTGTGGTGGCTCGAGAAAGAGGGTCCGTGACAGCGGTATGGATGGGAGGTCAAATGCCACCCCGTAGGCGCTGCTAAGGCAATCGGTGCTTGGGCGGGGGACAGTTTGACAGTGCCTTCCTTGTCACTGTAGGTGACCTGAAGAGGCTGGAAGCCTGCCAGGCGCTGACGTGGGGTGGGTGACCCTCGCACTGTGGCCCCCCACAAACCTTAGGGTTAGGGTTAGGGTTAGCTGAGCTTCCGCTTCACTGACAGAGTTTACCCTCCTGCTCATGGCCACGTTTCTTTCCCTCAGCTCATCTCAAGGGTGGGTGAAGCTCACAGAGAAAGGTGGGCAGAGCATGAGCCACAAATTGTTTACTTTACATATATAACATCAGTACACATCTCACGTAAATTTTGCCATTCTAACCACCTTCAAGCATACAGGTCCAAGTATATTCACACGGTGTACACGTCACCACTATCCATCCACGTCTAGAGCTCTCTCTAGCTCTCCAAACTGAAACTGTGTGCCTCCCTGGCCTTCTCTTCCCCCGGCCCCTGGTGCCCACCATTCTACTTGGTTTCTCTATGATCCTGGCTCCTCTAGTGGACTCTCTTTTTGTTGTTTTTGTGGGTTCTGGGGATCAAACCCCCCTGGTCTTGTGCATGCAAGGCAAGAGCTCTGCCACTGAGCCACACCCCTAACCCCTCTGGGGGTTTGTAAGGGTGTTTGTTATTTCCTGTCTGGGAGAATGTCCTCTAGGTTCATGCATTTTTAATTTTTTTAAAACTTTTTAAAATTTTATTTACTTATTTCAAGACAGGGTCTCACTATGTAGCCCAGGTTGGCCTCAAACTAATGGCAGTCCTCCTGCCTCAGTCTCCCATGTGCTGGGACTACAGGCATGTGCCACCACACCTGCCCCCCCCCCCCCCGCTTTTTGACTTTAACACAGGGTCTTGCTATGCAGTCCAGGCTGGTCTTGAGCTCACTTTGTAGCCCAGGCTGGTCTCAAACGTGCAATGATCCTCTTGCCTCAGCCCCTTACATGTATTTTCTGATGCCCATATGTTTCTGTGCATGCATGCCCTGTGTGTTCAGAGAGAGTGGAACCATCTCACCACCCAATCCGAGCACACAGTACCATGTTTGTATATAACTGAAAGCTAAATGAATTCATGGAAATCAAGTTCTGAGGAAAAAAGAATCCCCACTCAAGATTATGACCTTTTTTACTTCATTATTAAGAAGTGAAGCAGGTGTTGTGATGCACATCTGTAATCCCAGCTCTCAGGAGGCTGAGGCAGGAGAATCACCACGAGTTTGAGGCCAGCCTGGGCTACATAGAGAGTTTGAGTCCAGCCTGAACTAACGTAGTAAGACCCTGTCTCAAAAAAAAAAAAAAAAAAAAAAAAAAAAGAACAGAAGTGTTTACTACAAAATGATGGCGAACATTTGCAAATTGAAAAAATGTAAATTTGGAGAAAACATAATTTTAGAAAATTGAGATGCTGGGACTGGGAGGACCCAACAAGAAGCCAACTAGCCAGGTTTCTGGTAAGCCATGGAAGCTGTGTGGGTTCCAGGGAAAGTCAGAGGGCGCCTCCGTGTGCCTGTGGGCACGCTGGCGCAACCAAACAATCTCTCCCACCCCCTCACCCCCTCTCCACCCCTAAGCAGCCTGCTGGTTCTGAGGACAGACTGAGTAGACAGCAACTAAGTACATAAAGCTGCTAAATCCTTGCATTGTCTGGTTGATTTTGCAGGCCTGGGCCAGCGGTTTGAGCATCTCCTGGGGGGCGACTGTATGCAGTGTAGCAAATATGGGGGATTCCCTTCAGTCGTGTCTTTGAAATCAAATATTGTTTTTACTATTTTGCTTTGTTTTGATTAATTGTTTTGCTTTATTCAGTATTCTGTTTTGATTGGTTTTATAGTGTTTTGTTTTTGGTTTGATTTTGCTGTACCTGATGGAATCGACAGCTTTTGTAAAGATAACAAGATATACTATGGTAGCTACTATTGTTTTCCTAGTGTCCAGCTTTGAAGTTCTGTACCAATTTTGCTGCTTTATTTTGATTGGCTTTGTTTTGTTTATTTGTTGAATTTTTCTATCTTTAAAGTAAATAAATAAAAATTAAAAATTGAGCACATTTTGCCAAGACTTCTTAAAAAATGGTTCAATTTTTATGACTCATATCTACCCAAGGAATTTATTAATGGTCCTAAAGCCCTATTATGTCCAAATGTCCACACTGACTCTCTTCTCCTAACTTTCTAGTGAATTCCTCCTTTGATTTAGGAAAATACTTCCTGCCAAGAATAAACATGTTTCAGAATTTCAAGAATTGCTTATATGCATAAGTGTATCAAATAATATCAAATATAAGAAAATACACAGTTGTTATGGATTTAAATATTTTTGTAGAGCATCCAAACACAAAAATAATTGATTCAGACTTCTTTGTGGAGAATACCCAGGATGCTAGGGGAAGGTCAAAATATTCTTTCTGTGTTGTTGGCTTTTTTGAGTGACATGTATTTTGAAAATGTTTCTCATTAATTTTTGGTTTTCCTCTTTTAACTTTTAAATACTAGCAAATCAATGCCAATGTGTTCCTAAAAATGAACTCTTTCACAAACTCCCAGGTTACTTAAAAAGCCTGCCCAAGCTTGGAATTTTCCAATGTGCACTTATTAAACTCAGATCTTTAATACAGCCATCTTTTGCCATGTTAAAATGATAATAAATGATTAGTATTTCAGATTCAGCCTTAGTATTCATTTTTAACATTCTTAAGAAGCAAAGCATTAGGAGATGAGTTAAATGACAAAATCTTCCTTGTTTGGGTTTATGTTAAAAAATGACTAATTTTCAATACATACCTCTGATCCACTGTCCTGCTGGTTCTGCAATAATCTCTGTACAAAATTTTCAACTATTTGTGGCCTAATAACTGAAAAGTTTTCTTTCATGACTTGATGTTTCCAAAGATCTAGGGGGGAAAACACCAACATTTATATCACAAAACACAGCACTGTTCACGGTTACATAACGGCAATTCTCTGAGATCACGCTGGATGCAGCAAGCTGCATTTCCAAATACACAGAAAGCAGAGCGCTAGGCAGCTGGGGTGGGGTGGCACAGACCCAGCCCCCTCTGGATGTGGCATAACAAAGATCTCTAACAAGAGTCCTAAAGAAAAGGTTTGGAAAATCACCTCTCAGGTCCAGGGAACGATAGTCTGTCACCACAACCATAAACCTCAGATGAAATGTTACTATTGACCACATATGAAAATTTCCATTAATATCTTGTGTGTTTCTGAACAATTGTCTTAGTGTAACACATCTCCTCCAAACACGCAGAACAATATGACTGATGTTCTAAGAAGTGAGGCACACAGAGTTACTCCGAGTAACATTGTTTACGGCAGCAGAGCTTGGAAACACACATGTCCATTAGTAAGGATCTAGTTATTTAAACTAAGGCACATCCTTCTGGAGGGATGGCACGGAGCTGTGAAAGGAAGAACATTTTCCTATATTGATAGGAAAACAGCGACTGAAAAAACAGCCACCATAATTTCTGAGAAGAAAGGGTTAGGTGAGAATGTGGGTCAGCTTCACTGCCAGCAGGGTTGGGTTCCGAGATTTGTGGAAAGGTGACTGGATCATAATCTTCACCGTTGATTAAACTCATTCTTCAATGCCCGATGCTCCAAGAGGAGCCGAACTGGAGGTGGGCTCCTGGGGAAGTGCCTTTGCAGGGTCCCTGTCTTCCTGGCACTCTTCCCCGTGGTCCACTTTCCCCGTGGTCTGCTTTTTGGCTACCAAGAACTGGGCCACTTTGCCCCCCAAGCCCTTCTGCCACCGTGCCTCTGCTCTTCAGGAGCCAACTAGGGACTCAGTCCTCTGAAACTGGGACCAATAAACCTCTCCTCTTTTAAACTGTGAGTTCAGGCATTTGGTTTTAGCAATCAGAAACCTGACCAATACAAGTGTCTCTAAGCTTTAATCAGAAAGAAATCGTGGGAAGACATCCCCTTAGGGTTACTCAGGGTCACTGTGAGAAACTGTCCTCTCTTTTTCCTGCCCTCTCAGGTCTCCCTTCCTTCCCGGATCGGCCACAGTAGTGCCTGCTATTTCTCCCATTTCCCTAAGGTTCTGTGAAGTCATTCAGGCGCAGTACAGAAAAGATTAAACTCCAAGACATGGCGAGGAGGGGACAGAAGTATTCCAAGGTTCCCTCGGGCAGGTGTAAACGAAGACCCCAGAGTTGGCCAACAGGGAAAGCAAACACCCGGAGCGGGCGATGAGGGCTCTGTGTCCTGGTCCTGTTTTCTCTCATAGTGTAGGGAGCCGAGGAAGCTGGAGGTGGACCACATGTGTGGGGCTAAAGCAAGCAAGCCCAGAAAAAACAGAGAGACCAAAACAAGCCATGTGAACAAGGTGGCCCAGCACCAGGAAGGCAGGGCCCAGGCCTGCCAGGCAAGGGGCTGCTGGCCGAGGCGCTGAGACTCACATCACCCTGCCCAGTGTATAAGTCAAGGTGCTCCAGGGTGAGCAGTTCCTTTCCTCCCCTCAGGGGAAGGGCTCCACCGCCCCCAGCTTTGTCTTTTTAAAATTTTTCTCATCCTCTCCGGTCCTTAAGCCCAGGAACCTCAGGAGCTGCACTGGGCCACGGCATGTGGTGCCAGAACACAGACGGGGTAAGAGACTCAGGGCGAGGGGACACTTTTCATGTGTGGGCAATGTAGGGGGAGAGGTAGATTGGTGTAGGTCAACCGTCATCACTGGAGTGTGTTGATGTGGCTTCATTAGGTATAAAGGGTGGGGCATTGAGACTCCCGTATTCTCTAGACCCAGTTATAAAAGGGCCTGAGAGAAACCCCTTCCCTTGAAAAGAAAAGAAAAGAAAAGAAAAGAAAAGAAAAGAAAAGAAAAGAAATGTAATGATTATATCAGCTGTCTAACTATATGACAGACTTACCCAAAACAATCACAAATGTTTAAAGACCTGTTTGTTGTATGCGTGATTCCAGTATTTACGTTCCTTCTGTGGGTCTGGATGAGACAGGATCTGAACAATCTTAAGCTTCTTGAGACAATTACAAGGGAACTGGCTCCAGGCACTGCTTGAGAATCAGTCCCGAGCAGGGAAAGGGTGGCACCACCGCCACCCTGATCACTTTAACCGAGCCACTAACTGTCCAGCAAACCCTTCGACTATCTGTCCAAATTGTAGAGACGGTATCATTGGGCCACTCGATGTAAATTCAAAACCGCTACAAAAGAAGAACTTTCAGCAGGGTTGTGGCAGCCAGGCAAAGGGTAGGGGTGTGAGGGCTCAGATGGCTCCCCGGGATGGCCTGGCCCTGCGCGCCCGGCAGGCTCCTATGGTAGGGGTAACATGGTCCTGATTCGTGGTTTGCTGATTCCTGTTTACAAAATGCTCTTACAAAAGACAATTTCAAATAACCAATATGACAACAACTAACCTTTAAAACTTCCAAAAATCCAACATTTGGCTTTCACAGGCTGGTTCCAGCATATCACTGTCTCACCATGGCTTTGTAGTGGGTCTTGATATCTGGTAATGTAAATTCTCAAACTTTTTCAAAACTGTTTGCTACAGAGGTACTTGTTTCAAATTCGTGATTAATGTTATTCTACATTTATTTAGGTCCCTTCTGCTTTCTTAAGTCAATTTTAGTTGCTAATAGACTATACAGTTGGCTAAGTTTCTTGAGTATGTCTCCAGAAGGAGAAATTGTAAACTTACATACTTGGGAGGAAACACAACAGCTTACAGTAAGACTAGGGGAAAAACAAACCAACAGAAATCAGCTGGCCCTCCCCAGATTTTAAAGGGTTATTTACTAAGTTATTTACTTTCTGCTCCTGAGTTTGGTCCAAAAAAGGTAAAGAATCAATGTTGCTCGTCTCAGCTGCAAGGAGAAAGCAGGGCTAAGGTTCAATCTACTCAAAACACTGTTCAAATCTCCCTAGATTATTGTATTGCTCAACTGGTTATTCTTCCCTTTACAAAAATTGGAAAATCTATAAATAAAGAAAGGGTGCCTAAGGATTTTGGATCTTCTGATACTTATGAGAGAGGTGGGACACGGCTCTGCCTGGCCAAGCCATCCTGGTTTTTCCTATCACCTGTGCACATGCTTTATGAATTAAAAGTTTACACTGCACTGGTGCTCAGGTCCCCAACAACAGCTGGCCTCCAGCCCAGAGCAGGAGCGGTGCCTGCATGTCACAGGAGAGCCCAAGGTCCCTAAATACAAAATGCTTTTTCCATTTTCTCTATACCTTACCACAAAAATTCTTTATAATCTTCAGGTCTAAAAGTAAGCTGAATGTGCTCACAATTTAATTTCAGAAAAACAAAAGGGAGAGTTCACCTCGTAATAGATTTCACTTGGCAGTATATAGATTTAAAGTATTTAAATTCTAATAAAGATGTAACTACTTCAGCAGATAGATAATGTAATCAAATAAATCAAATCTAAAAAGAATCCGCTGGAAAGATCTTCATACTGGACAACAAAAGCACCCAGGTTAAAGCTAAATGACCTATCTGGGAGCCAGTGTGTGCTGTCCAGCTGTATCATGGGCCCAAACCCAGGAAAGGAATTGATTCTACCTCTCAAGAAGCTGATGCTCAGCCCTATGACAGTGATGCCTTGGAGACCATGCCACAACTGACAGAAAAGGATGAAGCTAGAACCAACCTTAATTAACCCAAGATGCCCAGGAGACGGTAACCAAAACTAAAAAACGTGCAAATAGATGACAGAAGTGCATGCCAAGTCCTATGACAAAAATATGTTAATTACAGATGAGATTTTGCCTTTTCCAAATTCTTTGATAACTGACCTACAACAAATGTGACTGGTCTATTTAAAATTACAAATTCGACAATTGTAAAAATTTTGTGTAATTCAATTTGGCTAAAATACATTTGAGTACACTCTGATTATGAAAGATGTTTGTAATCTGTCTGCATATCTGTGTGTCTGTTTGTCCAGTCGGTTAACTGTTGATGGAAGTTACTAAGCTAGTGATCACTCACACTTATGAGATCTGCATTCTCCTAAACGGCAATGTTAGGTAAAAGCTTTTATGTATTAGTTAAGGATGATTAACCAAAAAGGAGAAACTTGATGTCAAAATCAAAATTCAAGTATGTTACCAGATGTCATAATGGCTTTTATGCTGAAACATTGTATATGGTTTGATTTCTAATTTTCTATGTAAAATATGTAATTGTTAATATTCTATAGTTATTCAAATGTTAAAACAGCCATGGTTGTTAAAAAATAATGGTTCCATTTTATGTTCTAAGGTGTTTGATAGATGATAACGCCTCTACTATATTGTACTGTTATCAATGTTTTATTCTGGATGTTCAGCAACTGAGGCATAGAGACCATCAAACAGCCCTCCAAGGTCAATGAGGACCCAGGACATAAGTGAACCTCTGCTGTGTCATCCTATACTCAGTGAGTTCCTGGTTTTTGGATCAAAGAGATTGAGAAACCACTGAGGAAAGTAATCATGGTTGTGTCATATGCCTAAGGAGAGTCACCAGGAGCAAAATCCCCCAAGCTTTCACAGAAAGCAACTTGGTCAAGCAATGGCCGTGACTCATCCGAACGGCTGACACTAACAGAAGAACTAAGAAGTGCTGTAGCTGGTTCCAAGGTTCCTAAGGAGACTTAACTGACCTTGATACATAACAAAAATTGATTGTATTTAAAATAGGTCTCACCTTAACTTGGTCTTGAACATCCTGCAGAAATTGTATAACTACTAGAGGTATATAAAACAAAGTAACATGTTATAAAAGAAACTCAAATCACTAACACCTTTTGGCAATTGCCAGCTATACTGGTAGCTGACTACTGTCACAGATGAATGATGGACTGCACAGGGTTTCAATTGCAGAATGCAGGGACTTAAAATCTTTGCACTGCACTTAAAGTAAAAAGATCTACAGAGCTCTCCAACACAGCTCCTCCAGCTTCAACTGACCACCCGGCCTGGGCAACAACAAAACAAAAAAGGAGGATATATAGGGAGCCATTGAAGCTGGAGGTTGATCACATGTGTGTGGCTAAAGCAAGCAAGCCCAGAAAAAACAGAGACCAAAACAAGCCATGTAAACAAGGTGGCCCAGCACCAGGAAGGCAGGGCCCAGGCCTGCCAGGCAAGGGGCTGCTGGCCGAGGGGCTGAGACTCACATCACCCTGTCCAGTGTATAAGTCAAGGTGCTCCAGGGGTGAGCAGTTCCTTTCCTCCCCTCAGGAGAAGGGTGCCACTGATCCCAGCTTTGTCTTTTATTTTTCTCATCTTCTCTCTGGTCCTTAACCCCAGGAACCTCAGGAGCCACAGTGGGTCTCGGCATCATAATAATCCCTTAATGCCTGCTAGAGAAACCACTCACACAAAGCTAACCTTGACCACACGGGTTAATTTCTGGGCAAAGACATGGCCCTGTTCGCTAAGGCTATTTCTTCCTGCTGAGATGCATGTAAGTGGGGGGGGGGGGTGTCCCAAGGCTGTGCCAGCTTCTTCAGGGATACTCAGGCCACAGAGGTCTGAGAAGACCCAACTGAAGAAATGGATTACAGAGCATCCAGGCACTGGGGACTCAGTAAAGGAGGAGCCCTGGTGTCCCTGTTGAGCCCAACAGACCAAAGAACAGAAACAAAACCAAACCAAGTCATGGTGGCCCCGTCAGTCATGGTGCTCATTTAAAAAGCATTACAAATCTAGGATTAGGGTAGGCTAGCCCAGGCAGTTTAGTTATCTGATCACTGTTGAAAAGAACTCTGCTTCTCCCCACTGGCCCCCAAGGAAGCCCCAGCCAACAGGGTGGCAAACCACAAAGCAAATACACCCCAGCTCTGCCACGATGTCTTGCTGAGGTGGCTGCACCTGCCCTGTGCTTGTGGGTTTTCTCCAAGGACCTGGAAGGCAGCCACCTGACGCAGCCAACAACAGAAGCTTTGTGTGCTGTAAGGTGTTCTGTAACCAGAGCTCAACTGTACAGCTCTCTGGTGACATTTAGAGATGACCCTGGGTGTGGCTTACCTTCTCTCTGGCACGGCCTTCTCCCAAAGCCCTGTATATAGGATCAAGTTACTGAAAGCACTTTTTCTTTACCTAGGCGTAGGTAAAGAAAACATGACAGTGCCTCCAAACTTAGTCTCAAAATGTAAACCTAATTTGTTTTGCTAGTTCCCGGGTTCAAAGGAGATGGATTTTCTTCTAGCATTTTTGGGTGTCTGGAATAGATATCTGCAGTTCGGACAGGACAACTACATGATCTGCAGGGCCGTATGCAGTAAAAATGTAGGGCCTTTCATTCAAAAAGACAGGGAAAATGTAGTTTTACAGGAAGTAAAATAGAAAGCTTTTTCCTTTCTTCTGCTGTCTTTTCAAGCCTGTCGTGTGTGTGTGTGTGTGTGTGTGTGTGTGTGTGCACATGTGTGTGTGTAGTGGGTATTGAACTCAGGATTTTGCACTTGCCAGGCAGGCACTTGTGCGTCCTGGTATTTTTATCTGCTTTCCCTTGGGCACACACAGGCTCCCGGGGTGAGGGGGACCTCATTAGTGCTGTGCCCTGCCCATTGCTTGGTGTCTGAATGCACAGGACCCAGCAGCTGCCAGGCTGAGGCTGTGTGTCTGTAGCTGCAGCCACCACTAAGCACAGGTGACGCCTGGGGCACCGCACCCCTTGATCTGGTATAGCTTAGGTACCAGGGGTGGAAGAGGGTCACCCTAACTGTGCTGCCCACTGAATGCACGTGACACTGCAAACCTAGGGCTCCCGAGAGGCTGCACCGTATAGGAGCCTAACCCGGAGCCACCCTGCACCCGGGGTCTGGGAGTGGGGAGGGAAGGTTAGTGATGTCACGAGCAGAAGAGCAAACTGGGAACACACACACACCCCACCCCCCCACCCCACCCCACCCCCGTACACCTGGGAGGTATCAGAGGCAGCCAGCACCAAGGCTGCACACCCTTCACACTCCCTGAGTCCCTCTTTCAAAATACAATCTCTCAATTTAAGCAATTTGAGAGTTAAAAGTGAGGCGCGGTGGTGTACACCTGTAATCCCAGCACTTGGGAGACTGAGGCAGGAGGATCACTTAGATTAGAGGCCAGCCTGGCCTACATAGTGAGTTCAACGCCAGCCTGAACTATACAGTGAGACTGTCTCAAAAAAAAAAAAAAGAAGTTTCCAGATGGTGACTCGTGGTCCTCTGCATCCCATGGGAACGCTGTGGGCACGGACCATGAAGTCGCCTTGTGTTCAGACCTCAGAGGAAAGGAGACTGCTTTTACTGCTTTTCCACTACTTACGTGTGTGTGTGTGTGTGTGTGTGTGTGTGTGTGTGTGTATACACACATATATTTGTATGTATATGTATATTTACAAGATTTTTATATATGAGATGATTGAAAACAAGTGAATGTTTACATTTTTTGAAAGTTATTGCAGTAAAAGACAATGCCATTAATTCCCCTCATCTCATTGCCCTTACCAATTCTTTCTTTTGCCTTTTTGAGATAGGGTTTCATTATGTAGTTCAACTGGCCTTGAATTCACTTTGTAGCCCTGGCTGGCCTCGAACTCACAGTGATAGAATTCACAGTGATCCTCCCGCCTCGGCCTCCTGAATGCTAGGATTACAGGCAAGAGCCACCAAGACTGGCCTTCTTGCCGCTTGCTGAAGCAGTTCTCAGAATCCTGTTTCAGGAGTGTCTTTAAGAGGTGTGATAAAAAATACAGAGAATGCTGGTGCTCAGGGCCCTGAGACAAAGGCAGGGTCAAAACACCGTGATGTGTCCTCCTCCACCTTGTCCACTGGACCTGGCACTGTGCGACTGCGGACTCCTCCCCAAGTCAGGATGATCAGAAAAGGTTCAGTTTTGAATCAGCTGAGGACATCAAAGAGCCAGAACAGTGCGACCAAAGACTCAACTTCCAAAGCAACTTCAGAAGGTGCTCAGAACGATGCAACAGTGTGTCCCAAACAAGGGAGTACGTCTTGAGGGGGATTAATGTCCATGTGCCTTTTATTGTCCTACATTTAAAAAATATAAATACTATGTTTTGAACACACCTTGTACGTCATATATATTATACCAAGAAAGTGTTCATATGTGCCCTTCACTTTAACATTGTTTCAATTATGAGTTAATTGGTGGAGCTGAGACTGAAGTGAAAACACGTTTTCATTTAAAATCTTTTGAAGTGACAGTGTATACTGGCAGTCGTACACACCGGGAGCCTGAGGCAGAAGGGTCACAGACCTCAACACAGCCTGGGTAATTCCGTGACATAGTGAGACCCTGTCTCAAAATAAAACAAAAATAGAAAGAACTGGGCACGGAGCACGGTGTAAAGGTCCAAGGCTCGGTTTTGTTTTGTTTTTACAGTTAATGTGAATACACGAGGCGCCTGATTAAGTAAAAAGAAAAGAAATGCTAATTTTTGAATTAATAAAGTAAGTATGGCTTACCTGTTGGGAGCGTGCTTTCCTTCCTGGACTTTTCTGATAAAACCAGTGTCATCTCTCGGTGGACTTTCCGTAATACCTCCTGGATCATGTGAATTTCAGTCTCTTCCAGAAGTTTCCGAAGCTGGAGCACGCACAAGAGTCATCTGCACATTAACTCACGCCGTGGGCTCCCAAGCCTAAAGCTATTCCTCAGCTATCTTCCCCCTGGCAGGAGGAAGGGCTCCTTTCTCAGGCCCCCCACTGCTCCTGCAGCTTCGATTCATCTTTTTGGAGATCAAAGACATTTTCTCCTGGCCCATGTGCCAGCTGATAAAATAGAACCCTTTTACCAGACCAGACTGAACTGCAAAATGCGTCAAGCCTCAGAGTGACATCTTCTCTCTGAGATCTTTAAATGTGGCCAAGGATTTCATGAACCATCACTTTTATCATAAGAGAAGCCTTCAGGCTGGAAACTCAATTTTGATGCCAAGGAAGATTTCATACATAACCAAGAGGACTCTGTACTCCCGTCTACCCAGAATGTGTGCACGGCCCACCATCCTCCCTGGCGGAAGACCAGGTGCCGGAGAGGGAGCAGAGTTCAGCAGGGTACACGTGGTCTTGCGTGGCCCTGAGCCCTGCTTGGGGGCCCGAATGTTGCCTGTGGCTCAGTGGACAGGCCAGAGGCTTTTCACAGGGAGCCTGGTCTCAACACCAAGCTGAGCAAAGCCTTGGAAAAAATGGCTTCTCCATATAGATTGTCTAACATGCCAAAGAGACTACTACATAAGTTGAACTTTCTTATTTTTGGAAGAACAATTATCAGAGTATTCGATATCTCATGTCCATGTGGATACGTGGGCGCTGGTTTTTATGTTTAAGACACTACTGCTCCTAGCACTGGGAGGCCGAGGCAGGATTGCTGCAAGTGTGAGGTCAGCATGGACTACATAGTAACTTCGAGGTCAGCCTGACCGCTCGGCTTCAAAAAAAAACGGTAGAGGGGCTGGGGATTTAGCTCAGCGGCATAAGCACCTGCCTTGCAAGCAGGTGGTTGTGAGTTCGATCCCCGGTACTGATAAAAAAAAAAAAAAATAAGGTAGTGATTATGTTTTTTGTTTTTTTCTGTTGATGGAAAAACAAAGTAACAACAATATAGATTTGCAGAGCTGAGAATTTAAGGACTAGTTTTTCGTTTTCTCAAAGTTCCCCATGTACCTTTAATTGCTAACAATTCACAACCCTCTAACTTACACTGAACTTCTTACAAAACAAAATAAACCAAACCTACACCCATTGTGTATATTTGTAGTTTTACATGCTATTACCAGAGAGCAAGTTTTCCAAAGCGGATTTTAAAGGTTCCTGCGCACCTGCTGAGTTTTTATTTCGGTTTCTGAAGCTCCTTTTGGAGGCAGAACGGACTGACTATTTATCACAGATCCTTCAAATTCCTCTTCTTTCCCCATCTGCCTTGCGAGAGCTCTCATGCTGGGGTAGAGAATGTCAGCTCTATCAAAGAAGAGAAACGGAAATGAGCAAATGACAGATTTTTTTTTCTTATTCTGATTCCCCAGCTTATCATCACGTACAAGTGTCCCAACCTCCTCACAGCACCTAAATTCACCTCTCCCTTGGTCAGTCTTAAATCCCAATGCCTTTTCCTGGGGGGGACGTACAATTTCAGATTCCACTCCTCAGCATATGGACCATGCTCATTCCCCAGTTACAGGGACACTGGCCGCAAGGCCCTCACCTGGTGGAGGAGCAGTGACCCTCCCGGGGCCTGGACGGTCCAGCGGGGCAGGAAGACCCTGAGGAGTGCTGGCTGTGGACCTAACAGCAGGCCAGGCCTTGCTGCGGGCTGTCACCCACCCACCTGCCTCCAGGGCCCTCCACCTCTCAGGCCTGAGCCTGGGCAGCAGGAGCCCGATTACCTCCAGGATGCAGCCTGCAGTGCTGGGGACAGCGCTCTGGCCACCGAGGAGAAAGGCAAAAGAGCCCCCAGGCTTGCCAGGAACCCTGAGCTAGAAAGCTGGGTCTGGTCAGTGGGGTGGATTGCTAAGCCCAGGGTCCCAAGAACTGGGTATCGGACAGGTAGAAGACCCACTGTGTGGCCTGGAGGAGGCCAGCGGTGGCCCACAGCTCTGCTGCACAGAGAGCTGGGTGCCCCGGGAGGTGGGCACCTTGGGGAGGTGGGCACCCTGGGGAGGTGGGCACCCTGGGGAGCTGGGCCTCGATTCCCACCCTGACCGAACCACACTCACTCATAGAGGGCCGAGAGCTGCTGGTGCCGGGAGGCCAGGTCCAGGTCCTGGGCGTGCAGCCTGAGTCGGCCCCAGTGCTCCTTCAGCACCTCCAGCTGCTTCCACAGCAGCAGAAAGGTCCTCAGCTGGGCCAGGGCCGCCACTGGGTCGCACCGGCCTTCCAGAGGGGCGGAGGCCGCCGGGCTGCTCGGGAGCTCACTTCGGAATCTGGGCCCTCTGATCCCATCTGGCTGAAAGCATAGCAGGCATCCTCCTTACTGGCCAGGGACCAATGTGTGACAACCTTTTACATGCAGCCCACATCCTTTAAAAATAAAGCAGATAGCTGGGAGTGATGGCACCCATCTGTAATCCCAGCACTCTGGAGGCTGAGGCAGGAGGATCGTCAACAGTTCAAGGCCATCCTGGGCTACATAGTGACTTCAAGGCCATCCTGGGCTACATAGTGACTTCAAGGCCATCCTGAACTACCTGGTGAGGACTTGTCTCAAAAAAGCATAAGAAAAAAAGAGCAGAGGGCATTTCATTTGAATTTATTATTCAATAGGCGATTTTACTTTAAAATTTTGATTTCTTTCTGTGCGTGAGTGCCTATCTATGCACGTGTGTGTGTGTGTGTGTGTGTGTGTGTGTGTGTGTGTGTGTGTAGTACTGGGGACTGAATCCAGGGAGCACTGAGGTACATCCTGATCCTTGCGTCCTTTTTAAATTTTATTCTGAGACAAGGTTTCATTAAATTGCCCAGGCTGGCCTCAAATCTGCAATCCTCTTGCCTCAGCCTCCTGAGTGGCTGGGATTACAGATGTGAAGTAAGCATTTGCTGTGAGTGCTGGAGGACGCAGAGGACGAAGTTCCCAGGCTCTGCTCTCCTACAGTCATAGAAGTGTGACCAAGGCCACCCAGAGAGTGAGACAAACCAGGGACAGGAGTCCAGGCCCTCAGCTCGATCACAGGGTCTCCATCACAGGAGCTTCCTCAACAGACTACAGGGCAAATTCCATGATTTGGATCAGAGGACATTCAGGGCACAGAACTTAGGCACTCAAGTTTCTTGGCTCAAAAAAGAAAGAGCAACCTCACGTAATTGGATCCTAGATCAGAGCTATTCACATAAAGGAAGATGCCTCTGCCGGAAAGAGGGTCAGTCAGTGTCCAGAGGAGGACTGGCCACCGAGAGGCCCCGGAGCGTGAGCTTGCACTCAGCTGACACAATCCCTAACACTGGAGCCTCCTCGGTAATCAGTTGGCCGCAGTTCCCAGTACCTTACTCTTGGAACCCTTTCGTCCGATGAAATCTTAGGCATGGGCCCAAAATATCCACAGACCAAGGCTCAGAACAGTGACACCACTAGAGGCCATGTAGTTGGTTCCCTGTGATCAAAAAGCTCCATGATGTCTCCAAGGAGACCTTGGCGTCACAATTTTAAAGACCATCAGCAAATCCATCTCCTTTGTAGACACAATTGAGAAAGATCATAGAACTTGTATCATGGCTGGAATCTAGGAATCTGGACTGATAGGGCATTATAAATTCTAGTGTTGCTCACCGTCTGTAAATAAACCTTTCTAAATAAAAATGTGTCATGTCAGGCATAGTGATGCATGCCTATAATCCAGCACTCAGGAGGCTGACACAACTTCAAGGCCAGCCTGGACTACATCAGAAGAACCTATCTTTAAAAATCAGAAAGCAAAACTAATTAAATAATAATATATTCATGTTAAGAGATGTTTTATCTACCTACATGTTGTAAAGGACTAGAGAAAAAATGGGAAATACAATAAATGGTAAGATGGGAAAATAAAAAGCTTAAAAAATAAATCAAAAGGTGGAGATAAATGATAAGGGACATCAGGAAGGGATGGTATCTATCAGAACCAGGACCAAACAATGGCACGTGGAGGGACCAAGGACCCAGGATGCTTCTTGATCTTGGCACTGCTTGATCTCCTCCTGGATTTGCAAATGATCCCTCTGCGTGATGCATCTAATTGTGTTCTAGGATTTAGAACCTTCCTGCTGATGGGCCTTAAGTGGACCAACTGGATTTTAGCCAAAAGCCCCAAGGACAATACACTGGGAAGCTTCTAAGAAAGTATTTTCTCCTTGGAAGAGCTAGGACTCCCCAAGGAGAAAGCGCTCTTGTTCTGTTTTTATCTTGCACGGACACGGAAACGTGCTGAGTCCTTGGGGTAGCTGCTGAGTGACCGCACCAGCCGGGGGGAGCTGCTGTCTCCTAGCTAGACCCACGGAGGGCAGGACATCTGCAATCCGTCCATGTCTCTCGGACTCTAGGCAGCGAGAGGAGCAGAGCTCGAAATCCTAAAGAGAGTGATTTGGAAGCTAAAACCTGAAGCACAGGCAGGAAATAAGCAGGCGATGAGGTGGGACGTGAGAGGAGAAGGGGGATCTGGCCCTCAAGAGGGACAAAGGGGAGCTGGGTGCACTGGACAAGGTGAACGAGGTGAGCTAGACAGATTGCTAAGAGCCACGTCGGAAGTCTCCTTAAGGTGCATGACTCTAGAGAATTTGTAAGCACTGTCTGGGTTTTAAGGAGAGAAGCAACGTAACCAGGTGTGCAGTCTTTAAAAAGTTGCCCTGGTTAATGGATTGGGAGTACACGGGACTCCGTGGTTCTGCTAACAGCACAGCTGGGGCTGATCATGTTTGCACTGGTGCGAGCTTAGTGAGGGAGAATGGAGAAAGCGGACACACTCGAGATTAAAATCAAAGGACGGTAACTCTTGGTGTCTGCTTGTGAGCATGATACAGGAGGAAGAGGAAATGCTAGGAGGGTGAAGCCAGCTCTGCTCCGGCCGCACTGTGTCTGAGCTGGAAGAAATGGAGCCGCTCAGAAGGCAGCTGAATGTGTGAACCTGACAGGCGCGTGATTCAGATGAGTGGAGGCACTGCCTTTAAGGTTAAAGCTAGAACAACAGAAGGGTTTGCCAGGGAGCAAGCGGGAAAGGGACGGAGTGTGAGGGGGAGCCGGGCATGGTGGCGCATGCTTTTTTTTTACCGGTACCGGGGATCGAACTCATGACCATGCGCTTGCAAGGCAGGCGCTTATGCCGCCAAGCTAAATCCCCAGCCCCTGTATGCCTGTTATGCCAGCACTCGGGAGGCTGAGGCAGGACGGTGGCCATGAGTTTGAGGCCAGCCTGGGCTACATAGGAAGTTCAAAACCAGCCTGAACTACAGTGAGGGAGCTCTTGGTCCAGACAGTGGCCCTGGAATCTGGTTTTCTAGTCGGCCATGTGATTCTGGCCACTTTACTCAACCTTTCCAAGCCTTGGTAGTCTCATCTAAAATGAGAACAATGAAAGGATTTATGCCATGTAAATGTATGAAAATTAAATGAATTAAATAAATAAAGCATTCTGAACAGACTTCTGCTCATAGCCAACAGCGGTATTAACAGTATTTGGGACTGATTTATAGCTTTGGGCAGAAAAGGCTCAGTGCCTGAGGTCTATAAAATATGTTAATCTCTTTTAAAGTCTGGAAAAAAATTGGACTTTTAGGTTAAATAAAATGCTTTAAAATATAATAGATGTGTTTTTCTTTATACTGAGTTATAAAATATAACTTACTTTTTTTAAAGGAGAAAAGGGCCCACTAACATGCTAGAGTCTATAAAAATCAATGCATGGTCCTAAGGCAACAGAAAAAGAAACAGAAAAGAAAGATTCAGGGGCAGGGAGGTGGAACGACAGGTTTAGGCTTTTCTCCAAAAGTTTGGCTCCTGGAGGGAGGCACTAGCTCAATTCACTGACACCCAAACATGTCTCTGCTGGACCCAGACGCGTGCAGAATCGTTCATGACACCAGGCGGGTAAGTGGCTCCTGTACCTTAGGGCGTCAGAGGGGAAGCCCAGAGAAGGGAGCAGGGTCTAGGACCCACGCATGGGCTAGCTGAGGCACAAGACAAAGATTCAGCCTGAGGGGCTCCCCTGGAGTTTCTCTCCTGGCCCTTGGGCTTCCCTGAAAGTTCAAGACAGTGACTCACAGTGAAAGCATCTGGCTGGAGTAAGAAATGGGAATGCGACTGATGATGAGACTGTGAAAGAAAATCCCTTGAGCGGCTTTCACAGGCCACCTGTGCTTTGTCGCTGCGTCTGTGTGGTGTTAGCACAGTCCTGGGCGCACTGGGAAAGGCTATGGGAGGGATGAGGCTCTCTAATGCATTTCCCACATAGCAAAAGGCTTTCATACAACACAGAGCTGTGCGGACTGTTCACCAGGAATACCTGTCTGCTTTGGGTCACTGTGGCTTGGCACCCAGGAGAAGCCTCCCCGTTTGTGTGAGGGCCGCGCGAAAGTACATCGTCCATTAGCAGGCGCATGGCTACCAGCTCCCCGTGGGCCACCTTGTGGTCGCTGTCACTCAGCCCGCAGAGGCACTGCTGAGAAGAAGATGCAAAAACAAAACAAAAGCCACGCTCCAACCTGGAAAACTCTCACGTATCCTTTACATGTGTTTTTTTTGGGGGAAAACTATTCACAAGTGCTCCCTCTCAGCTATGAGGAAAATCCATAAAAACCAGGGAAACACTTCTAATTAAAGTCTTCCTTGGGCACATCAGACTTTTGGTCCTAGGCAGAGGTGCCAAATTTACTGGCTCTTATAGCGGATCTATATGATGACTATATAGTGTGACATTAATTTTTCCTTTAAAAGTACAAGTATGAATACATGTCTGCTGAGAGAAAAGACTAGGAAAAAATCCCAGAGGTAAACTATGATTGTCTCTGAGTGGTAGGCCATAACAATTTTCTTTTCATAAACTATTCTTTTTACTGCAAAAAATCTTCTTATATATATATGGAGATATATATATATCTTCATAAGAAGATTTCCATCACCTAGCCCCAGAGACTATCAACTTACGATTTATTTTTCATTGTTCGTAACACTTTCATATTTTTTAAATAAAAATGCAGCAATATTTACTTCGATAGCAGAAAACTTATCATGATTAAAAGAAAGTAACGGTTTAAAAGAATTGAAAGTCAACAACGAAAACTAAAATAACAGAAACCCTCCTCATGAGTCCTGCCGAGAGTTTCCTGCTTACCAGAGGGATCAGGCGCCAGAGCTGCCGGCCAGGCAGTTGGCTAAGAGCCCCTGGTGGTGATTAAAGAGGACGCTGCTCCCCTAGATCACAGCTCCCTGGGAACCAAGGCCAGTGCCTGCTGAGACCCTGACTCATGTACAGTAAGAAGACGTGACTCACCTGGCAGCACCAGGCTTGAAGCTTCATGATTAGACACCCTGCTAATGACACCCTACCTGCCATTCTGCAATCAGCTTCCTCTCCAGAACGTGGGAAGATACACCTACCTGCATGCTGTACTCAAAGGTGTCTGGGGTGCAGCTTATAGCTGGAAATGGTCCCCCATCTTCCAGAAATGCTCTCCAGGGGAACAGCACAGATGCCTAAGACCAAATAATAGACACAATAATGCTATATCATCTCCCGATGTTAAAGACATCTGTATGCAAACCAGATTTCTGTGTCTGCACCCCAAACCATTGTTGGATGATTTATTATGTAGAAATAATTCTTGATGGTGAGTCCTTCATAATGAAGAGGAGACAGCAATAATAATAATATTATTATTTTGGTACCACTGATCAAACTCACAACCTCGTGCTTGCCAGGCAGGTACTTGTGCCACTGAACTGTATCCCCTTTATTTTAAAGTTGTTTTTGGAGCAGATGGGTTCAGTCTAACTAGTTGGCACTCTTTGTTTAGAAGTTTCAGAACAAGATAAGACTCCTGGGGCATATTTACGATCAACACAGGCAAACTTGCTTAAATGCTCCCAATACTGAGCACACTGAAAAGCTGTCCTTTAACCCTTTTTTGCTCCAGTTCTTGGTATCAGCTCAAGAGCACTGCCACATCTTATTACATGTAGGCCTCCGTCTCGCTCACATTCAGAGTCTGACGGTCAAGCGATGGCCTATCTTTTATGACACCATGTGTGGCCCTGGGTCCAGCTGGCCTGCCTCTTCAACCCTGTTCTATACTTCTAGAATGATGCTGGCTTTAGGTGATTCCTGGAGGGGACACTGACTCTCCCAGCAGGGAACCAGTATCCCTGCATCCACCAAATCCTAGGAAGCACCCAGAGGCAGCAGGAGCAGGCCCAGCAACCATGGTCTAATTCTTCTTCTGGATCTGAAGGAGGGTACGAGGATTGCCTTGCAGCTGGGGGTCACTGTTGGCATCACTTGCTTATCATGTGTATAATGTTCAAATATCAAGTAAGAAGTTTGCAATAAAAATAAAATATGTTTACAACTTCTTTGATACTCTTCTCATCAAGAGCTGGGGCTAAACTGGGATTGTTGGTACATGCTTATAATCCCAGCACTCGGGAGGCTGAGACAGGATGATCGCTGCAAGTGTAAGTTTAAAACCAGCCTGGGCGTCATAATGAGTTGAAGGCCAGTTTATTTTTTTAAGACCTTATCTCAAAAGAAAAAAAAAAAGAATCTAGGGCCTAATTTTCCTCCTCTTGAGGGTAACTGGACTTGATAACTCACTTCTAGTACGTAAAATATAGCAGGTATGATGGACTGTCATTTCTGAAATTTCTTCATAAAAAGTCTAGGACTGCCACTGTTATAGATTAAAAACTGGTGGTTAACTTAATGCCGGCAGAATTAAATCACCATGGTGCTGAGCGCAGATGTTTTTCCTGAGAAAACTTGCCAGCATAAATAGAGATGAGGAAAAGGAGAAGGGAGGTGTTACTGCATTGAGGTGTTGAGGCATTGTGGGTTCTCCTACGAGTTGCTGTTTGACCTGTTGGTTCTCCTGGAGAAGCTCTGGTCCTCACATCGAGCATTGCTTCCTGGCTCCGGAGGGGAAGACATGTGCTGCTTGGTCTCCAGGATGAACTTGTCACACTGCTTCCTGGCATGTACCTGACTGTGCTTATCATTGGAGGAGCTTGGGGCCTCTGTGTCGCTGAGGATGGCTGTGGTGATTTTCAGGGAATCCTGGTCTTTTTTGTGAGCATGACTTCTCAGCTCCAGTGTAGAACCCTCAACCTACCAACACAGCTCCTTCACCCCACTAGCATACACTTTCGGGCTTCCAACGCTGACCTTGGGGCCTTCCCAGTGCAAATCCATAAAAGGGACTGGCGTGAGTCCTTCTCGTGGGCTCTAGACCTCCAGTTAGACTTGTGAGAGGCATTGTCATGAGCTCTGGGTCTTCATCTAGACTCTTGTGGGACATTGCTGTAGGATTCAGGCCCTTGGCTAAATATTCTATTTGTGTTTAGTGTTATAGATGGATTTCCTGCATTTTCTTGTGTTAACTCTGGGTGACAATCATAAAACAATATTGTAAACTCCATGTCCTGATTCTAATTGTTCTCCTCATAACCCCTGACTACAACAACCGTCCTGGGTCCTCTCGCTCAGATTGTTTGCTCCGGAGGAAGCCACTCACTATGCTGGGACGCGCTCTTGAAGGAATCATGTGAGTAACTTGCAGTAGACCTCCCAGTGTCCACCCACAGCCACAGGAGTGAGCTCGGAGCAGCCTTTCCTACAGGTTCATCCTGAGATGTTTACAGCACTGTCCAGCATCGTGACTGCAGCCCAGTGGGAATCCCTGTGCCCGAACTGCCTCCTACGCTTCTCCCAGCTTCCCGAGCCTCAGAAAGGATGCTGAGATAGAGAGCATTTTTGCTCTTCTTGCCTGTTAAACAGTGGGTATGATTCATTCGACAGTAACAGCTAAGGAACTGAATTTGTGGCTTGGTGCTGCCTCAACTCGACATAACCCAGTCTCTGGCTTTCCTAACCCTTGACCCTCTGGACAGTGGAGAACGTTGTTCCTGCCAGGAGCAATAGTGGATGTTAGGGAGGGTTTTCTTTGATGATGCATATGGTAACCAGGGCCATTCAAAATCCAGCTCCTGACCCAATGTATGTATCACAATCGCTATCATTAGTTATTAAGTGGAAAAGATCACGTGTTTGTCTTGTTACTAGCCATAAGCAAATAAGTGACAGCTTATCTGCAGGCAGCATTTGCAGACAAAATCCTGACTGGAAGTAACAGCAGCCCATGGAAGCTGGGATCGCTCTACTATGTGAGGAGCCAGGGAAGACCGAAGGGAATTAAAGTATGGACCCGAGTTCGATTCCCAGTAACCACCCCCCCACCCCCTACCCCCACCCCCACCCCCGGTATACAGCACGTGTATAATAGGCATGAAACAGCTCTACAACTCGCCTGGAGGCTCTGTGGATCCAGCGGCTGTGGCAGGCTGAGCTGTGCAGCAAACATGCTCCTCACCAGAGCGCTGCCCAGGGGCGGTAACCCGTGGTGCATGCCATCTGTGACAGCCTGGTAGGCGGGGATGTTTCCAGCTGCCAAGAACCTTCCTCTGCCAAGACACGGGGCAGGGGGAGGGTGTCAGTTAGAGCAGTTACTTAAGCACCTTGAGTCAGAACTTCCTTGTAAGCAACTAACACTGCGGTAGTGAGAAGTTGCTTCACACACGGCCCCCCTCCCCAGCTGACAACCCTCAGGGACAGGAGGTCAGCAGAGCAGACCTGCATGGCTCCCCTGAGCTGTTCCCCACGGCGACACATGCTGAGGCTCAGGCAGCAGCGGCTGGCCACTGTTGAGTGCTTGAAATGTGACTATTGCGATTGATGGACTGAACTTTAATTTTATTTCCTTTCAATACTGATTAATTGTAGTGAAATAGTCACATGTGGCTGTCAAACTGAACAGTATACTCGTAGCCCTGGGACAAAGCTGTCATTTGTTTAACCACTTTAAAACCAAATAGTTGGCAGATGTGGTGGCCCATGCCTGTCATCCCAGCACTTGGGAGTCTGAGGCAGGAGGATCGCTGTGAGTTTGAAGCCAGCCTGGCCTACACAGTGAGTTCAAGGCCAGCCTAACTATTTAGCGAATCCTGTCTCCAAAAATTACAATAAATAAATAAACAACAACAACAACAAAAAAACCCCAACCAAACAAAAGAAAACCAATAACTGAGACGAAAGCTCTTGATGTACAAAACCAGATTTTGAATTACGTAATAAGAGCCAGGGGTTAGAAAAAAAGGTTTTTGTTTTGTTTTAAACAAAATTTGGCTCTGCATATCAAGAACATGCAAAGCATGCATGTCAAGGCACAAAGCATGAAATTTATACCGTAAGTAGAGAAAGGAGATATGCATGATAAATTTGGATGATTTTCCTGCCCACAAGGAAGCAACAGTTTAAGAAGTAAGGAAAGATTGTTTCTAGAGTTTAGCTCAAGGATGCCGAAAAAGAGGCTGACAGAGGATAAGCCGGGGACAGGTGTCCCAGCGTGCGGGCATGGACTGCTTGGCTCCTCTGAGTGTGGCCCGTGTCTGACGTGCAGACATGCCAGCAAAGAGGACTGGCAATGGGGGAGTCGTCATCACGGATGGAAGTGAGGTGGCCTCAGAGACCAGGAGACCCTCAGAGTGCGTGCGGGGAGGGAAAGGTCCGATGGGGGAGCACCACGCCCCATACATCAGTGTCTGCTGCTCCCTGCCTGCCTGGAGGATTTATAGGCACCCCAAGAAGAACTGAGGTCACCTCTGAGAAATAGATAAGGAGGGGATGTGATGTGAGGCTCAAATTAAGGTCAAATATTAAGTGTCGCCTTGACATGGGGCTTACCCACAAGGTCCCTTCCCCTGTGCTCCCAGGATAAAGTCCCTGTTTGCCAATAACCTTCCTTATCCCCAAGCAGTGACTTCAGATTCTAGCCAAGCCGAGGGATTAGTGAAGAAACTGATCAGACCTTCCTGAGGCGCCAGGGAACACACCTGGCCGCTATTCTTCAGCCTGCCTGCCCTGCCCCAGCTCGGCCACTCTGTTCCCTGTGACCCTGCAAGGCCTGCAGCCCACCTCTGCCGAGCTATGAGGAAACACAATCCCATCTGGTCAGCCACTGCCCGGCCTTGGTGGACTCTTCCCCACCACAGCTGAACAGGAGCAGCTAAAACAGACAGTGAGGGGGAGAGTCTTAGATGAGCTGATTTTAAGGTGAATACTTTTATTTGTTTATTTATCTATTTTAATTATTTTATTGGTTGGGGGGTACCTGGAGTCACACTCCAGACCTCACACTTGCCAGGCAGGTGCTGGGCCACTGAGCTAAATCCCAGCCTTGAAACTGCATACTTTTAAACTCTTAGTGTAATTCATGAATATGGCATTGGAAGGTTTAATATTTTTGCCATCAGTAGAAGGACTTAAAAACTTAAGACAGATAAAAGGAACTTTATATCTGGGTACTAAACAATACATAAAAACATTTTTTGGGCCAGGGATACAGCTCATCAGCATAGCACCCACCTGGCAAGCATGAGGTTGTAAGTTTAATTTCTGGTACCAAAAAATCAAAACAAAGTAAAAATCATTTTTTACATTACAATGAGTATTAATAATAAATAGTTCAGAGTCTGGGTAGAATATTGATTTATGTCCCCTATACACACACACACACACACACACACACACACACACACACACATCTTTCACTGAGGCTCATGATCCTCAGTGAGCCTTGTTAAGGGATGTATGATTCACTCAACTTCTCTCTGACAGTGAAATACCAAGTACCTCGTATTGTCACAGCACTGGACCAAGAACTAAGGTGTGAAGAAGGTCCCACACAGGCTCAGGCCTTCCAGCCCAGCAAAGCCCAGTGAGACAAAGCTGCTCCTGACTTTCTTCTGATCTCTCAAGATAATCTGTACATACATATCTTTCTTATGGTGCTTAGGTACATTTTAAATAAAATTACAATAATGGCCTTGAAAAACTGCACCTTCTTGCTGGGCCTGCTGACAGGTATCTGTAATCCCAGCACCTGGAGGGCTGAGGCAGAAGTGTCAAGTCCAGCTCCAACTACTTAGCAAGAGCCTGAGGCAGGAGATCGGGGCATGGCAAACTGGCTGGGCAAGCGGATGTGGCCGGCCAATCATGGGGCTCCAGGACACAGGCCTTGCGTGCGCCCAGGACCAAGCAGAAAATAGTCTTCAGTTCTTCTTGTGAGAGTTCAAGAGGATTAGACAGGACAGCCTAGACCTGGCCTCAGCCCGAGGAGTGGAGGACCACTGCCACTGACCTCGTGGTCCCATTGCTGTCTTGTACAGGGCCCCCCCTTTAGCCTGCTGAGGGTATTTATTTCCCTACTTTTTTAACTGGCTCACCCTCACTCTGCAGAGTAGGTTTCTTTTCTTTTAATAAATGTGAACCTTTCTACCTCTTGTGCTTTTTTTGTTCAGTTATTTGTTCAGGACAAGAAGAACCTAGAAGCATCTGTACAACAAGTCCCCAGAACTGCAGAACTCAGTAACAACATTGTGCCAACAAACAAAAATCAAAAATGTAACATTCTATGAGAAACATGCATTTTCATCCCAGATCAAGAAGCAGAGATCTCAGCGCAACCCCTCCCTGGGTGGCTCCTTTTGAGTCATTCTTGTTCACCTCTGTCACTAATCTGTGGGATTACTTCTCTTAGCCTCTGGGGTCAGTTTTGTTCACATCTTAATTGTTCCACCTTTGACACACTCTCTTATCCTGACAAGTTGGTGCAGAACTTTGGAACAAATAATGCAATAAGGGATGACAATTCTTGGCAGAATTTTAGAGTCCCCAAGCCACCTTTGTGCAGATCCTAGGTGGTATGATTTGGACACGGTTTAAGTGTGTGCCCCAAAGGTTCAGGTGCTGAAACTCGATGGCAGGTATGGAGTCTCATGGGAGGTCATTGGGTCACTGGGGCACAGACTTGGAGCACTGTGGAGAGTCACCCAGATGACTCTTCCTGACTTTCCTTGAAAAGAAACGCAACTATCTCCATTTTGGGTCAACTTGTCCCTACATGTATTCATATGTACAGAGCTGGCTAGGTTATTTCTTTGTTCCTTTTATTGGCTTTAAGCAACGTAAATTGGGCTGGCTGAAGAGCTTATGTATAATCTCTAAAGCAAAGCAACAAGTCCGTGTTACCTGTCCAGTGACCCCCAAATACATAGATGAGCCGGGCAGGATGGAAAGCCACGCTCCATGATGTTGGCTGGGACTGGCCTTGAGAAAGAGGCTATGACTTCCCATGGTAAACAGGATTACGCATCCGAACCAGAGCGCTAACCCTGAATTATTAGATACTACCTAGCTGTGTTATGCAGATTACCCCTCTGCATTTCTTGCCCTCTGCATATCACAGAGGTGATCTCAGACCTCCTGTCCAGCCCAGCTCCCGGTAGTCACATATTTCTTGTTACTCTCGCTGTTTTCACAGAGAATCAATAAAATCTGGGTTGAGCTCTGGGTTGTGGCCTTTGTTCCGGTGAGCTACCATCTTGCCTGGACTTAGGACCCCGTGGCTCCCCTTAACTCTGTATATGTCTTAGTGTCTTCATTTTTGCCTTGGGTTGCTCTGGAAGTGGTAGGCTGGAATTAACCCACTAGAATTCCAATAACTTCTCCATGGGATTACAAATATAAACCTTCCTGTCCAGAAAAAGGACAAGAAAGGGTTCTCTCTATAAAAGTGCAGTTTTCCTGGAACTCAGTCCCCCTCTGTCTTCCCGTCTGATTATGTGATCTCCTCAGCCATAAAGACTTCACAGAGCCAAGTAGAAGCTGATATGGTGCCCTCAATATCTCTAAAACAGTCAAACAACCCTCTTTTCTTTATGAAATACCCATCCCAAGGTATTTCATTATAGCAACAGAAAATGAACTAATACACTAGGTCAATTAATTTATGGATGCTTGGAGACTTCAGAAACTGTCAGCACACTTCCAATGTAAATGTAACCTACTCTCAGGGTTACAGAATCACAGAATAGTATGCTCACACTGGAGAGATCAGAGTCAGATGATAGACAACACTCTTTCCAAATAATAAGTTAGCCCGTTCCTTACTTTCCGTGTCCCTCAGGCTGGATTGCTGTCCTACCTAGAGTTCTCATCCCCTGAACTAGAACTGCTTATTAAGGAACAGTAGAATACTACACAGAAGAGTTCCAAGGAGATACTCATTGGTTATTTTAGTACTGGACTCTTTGATTTCCTTCCTCTCCATTGAAAGATTTTTTCTTACCAGTCACCTTTTAAGTATTTTGTGATTTTAAAATCAGATTTGTATCTACCTCCAACCCACAATAAGAACTGTAGGAAAGAATGAGGAAATAGGTGTCAAAGAAGGAACAGGGCTACGGAATTAGACAGTGCAAGTTCGACCACAACCACCTGTGTGGACTGTTTCTGCATCTGTGAAAATGCAAGCTGGGCCTGATGGCCCATGCCTGTAATTCCAGCGCACAGGAGGCTGAGGCAGGAAGATCGCCAGGAGTTTGAGGACAGCCTGGCTTCACAG